TTAAAACCGTTTTTGAAAAAAAAAAAAAAAAAAACAGAATTTTTGGTATCCATAAAAAAGAAAAGAAAAGAATAGCTAAAAACAAATACAAAGCTCTACAACACCAAGTTAGTTAACCGGAGACGAGGAGGCAGAACAGTTTTGGCCCACGTGGGTTAGCCTTCAAACTCTTTCTGGTTAATTCAGTTGTGTCAGCTTTCAGTTGTTGTTAACTTGTTAGAAATCCTCCCTCCTACAGGACAAGACAAGACAAGACATCAAGTTCTCCCACGGGACAGGAAGATTTTTTTGGATGTGAACTCCATCTCTGGGTTACTATATCAGGAAACTTCTTGGAATGATAGATTGAGTTCTGTTGCAGACTTAGCCACCAATCCACCTCTCCTACACAAACCCACACGAAGATATGAGACCCGAAAACAAGCACAAGAAGGAAGGTTAAAACTCTTCATCGTTCACCTGACTAGAGAGGGGAGGCAGGCCTTGACTTTCTCAAGTTCCACAAAGCAACGACTGCATCGCTCCATCCTATGTGACGGAAGTTCGATACAAGAATTTTTGAGTGACGATGAAATCTAAGGTGCGATACAAGATAGTTCTGTGCAGATGAGATAAAGAAAGCAAAAAAAAAGGTAAACCCACCTTTGCTCTGCTTCGATATCTACACCAACCGATGATGGCGCTGATAGTGATGAGTATATCAGTGAACCGTACATTCTGACCAGCTTAAGCAGCAAATCCAGTGACACGCTCAAATGCCTAAAAGCAAGTTTTTTTTCTTTGTTAAAAAACATTCTATGAAGAAAATCATGCGATACTTGGTGACGATATCTCGACATCAGAGGAATTAAACAAATTGGAAAAGAAGTCACATTCAGGCATAAGAAGAATCATGCATTGTTGGCCTTGAATTACAAGACAATCTTACGCTTGATTTGGACGACAACCAATGACTAGAGCAGGCATAATGGATTGGAGGATCCCGTTACACACGTAAACTCATCTAATTTCTCCAAGAAGCGTGGAAATCGAACTTATCCAGATAAATGAATGAGAGCTAGAGGGATTTAATTAAACCACATCACATGATGAGCAGATAGGGACCAAGAATCTTTATCAGTTACGGTATTTGCTGAGATAACCCCCAACAACAGTCTCTCAGTTACACCCGAACGACAACCCCCACCAGAACCTTTTGCCAAGTGCCAACCAGAAAAGAAACAAGCATCTAGACATGAACATCGTGAAAGTAAATTTCACTAAATAATACAAGGTTTCGCTTAAAGAAGTGCATGTTTACCTTTCCATTTCGCTCCCCAAAAGAGCTGTCAGAAGGGGAAGAATAGAGGTACAGGTATCCAATGTTAAAATATCATTTTTCTCGGTTACCACACTCAATACATCCGCAACGACCTGTGACCAGTAAAAACATGGGAACCTGTTAGAATCCCACATTGACCATATGTGGGGACAATTGAGTCTTTATAAGGTTATGGGCACCCTCCCCCAAGAACATAGCTTTTGGGCTCTCAGTTCTACCCATGGACTTTGGGATTTAATTGGACCCATTATGGATGGGTTCAATCAATTGGTATCAGAGACACTCACAGCGTTATCAGCCATCTTTTCTATCGCCTCTATTGAGTTTTTAACGTCACTCCTTTCCCAATGTCTACGAACCACCTGCAGAAAATTACAGAAATGATTTAAAACAATGATAATCTAACACTAACAGAGCATCTGTTTGGATACATTAAGTGCTTGCGCCATTTTTCCTTTAAACAATTTCAGTAAGCTACGTGCATATGTGTGGGCACATCATGGAAAACCCGAAAGAGCTAATGACTACAGGTCAAATTAAGAAGACTACATCAACTACAGGTCAACTAAGAAGACTAAGTCACAAACAGCTACTTTCTTCGCAATTACCTGTAACTTAGCCAAACGAGACTGCATAGAGCTGACAAATTGATTATGTTGCTCCATTATATCTGAAACAATATCCTCTTCACTAACTGAAGTGATGCCTTCTGCAGGTGATAAATGGTTTCCTCTCTGCTTGAACTGCAGGAAATAAGATATTAGTACGCATTATCGCTGGTCCTCAGAAGATTGTAAGCAGAAGCATGACTCAACTAGATGTTGCTAATTACAAACTGTAGAACTGTAGAATGGATATTTCAGATTCCTAAAGGATGTCTGGGATCGGTTGTGTAGCATAGGGTGCCTTACAAATCGTTCAAAGATACATCTAAGGTTTAGCACTTTTGTTCTTTCAGTGAGGTGATAACAATTAGCAGGCTACAAAATGTCAATTCTCCATGAGTCTATTCTTCCATTTAGTTAATGAGCTAAACTCCATTATCATGCTTCTATCTCTGTTTTTTTTCTGTCTCTACATCGTGGATATGAGGTAAACACATAGGATGTCATGGAATCTCAGGTTACTATTCACACCTCCTAGCAAATCAATCATCTCCAGAATGAAGCAAAAAACATAAATATCACAGAATCAGATATTTCAGCATCAGCAAGTATTGAAAGTATATTACCACCGCAGATATGCAATTGAAGACACAAAATGCATAACCAGAATAGCGTCCAGTAATACCATAACTTATTAATTACTGAGAGGTGCTACTGTGCACGGATGATAGTTTTATGGTATAATGATGCCTTAGGGAAATGAGAAGGAAATGCACAATGGAATCGAGTTAACAGATACATGAGGATGTATAAACCAAAAAAAGGTCACATAATTCCCTATGGATTGATGGTATGACTTGTAGACAAATAAAAAACTGTTGCTTGTTTGAAAAGGACTCAAGTTGGAAACAAAATTTTGAGGTCATTACCGAATTGGATGGGCGGACATTCGCGACGGGCACATTTCCACCAGAAATACTTGAAACAGGTCCCTCAAAGTTGGAAAATCTCCCTCTCCTCTCCCTATTGATGATGAGGGAATGCATATTTCCTAATACGTTAAAGGCATAAGTATGAGAATCTATCCAACCGTGCACTAAAAGATACTAGACGGAAACAGGAATTACCTCCTTTTTTACTTTCAGATGGATCTGGATCTCTATTTGCTTTGTAGTCCATTAAGTCATCTGAAACATTAAATTTACTCTCAGAACTCTAGATCTCCATAGAAAGGAAAAGAGACATATACTTTAGAAGGACCACAAAACAGTAAAGAAGTTGTGTTATCCGAACATATTATACTTTAAAACCACTACATATCCCTCAAGATTGATTCATCCCTAGATTGTGCATGTTTCTCATAGTGGCAATAGTCTCATAAATACTTTTCACAACTCCACCAGAAATTCAGAAAGCGATAGGCCATTTTTGAGGGAACGAAATAGCAAATAGATATAAGAAGGCATTCATATTTTGCACTGAATGTTGACAAAATAAACCGACCACAATATAAACAGACAGAGATAAGAAAGGCAAGTACACGTACAGTTTTCGTCGTGGTTCCTTGGAGGTGATCCCACCAATGATCTTGAACCACTCCTGCCAAATCCCATATATCTATAACCATTAGGTTTCCTCTCAGCAGCAGATGTACCTTGTGTACCACCTCTGACACTAGAAAATGCATTCCCATCCAAGGTATTGCTTGGATCAGTTGCCTGAGATCCAGGCCTTTCAAGAGTGGATGTGGTTGGCAGATCTGACTCATTTCTGTTGCTTGGCAACCTTCGCGAATCAGCTGCTTTTGACTGCAGCGAATATGGCATGGTCCTTCCAATTATGTCGAGCTCTGTCCTGGATTCAGTTGCCTGATCACCTCTAAGATCTGTTCTGGGTACGATAACCGGAACAAAATCAGACTTGTTCATTACAGGAGCATTAACTGCTGTGTTAGCTCTTGCAAAATTCCTCTTTGAGGTTGAAGCAGTAGAAACAGCAACTGGAACACCAGAAGCAGTCTTAAGTGCATTGTTCAAACCAACACTATGAGGAGTGCCTGATCCACTTCCTGTGGCTTCAAGCAGCATATAAAACAAGGAAAGACATGGTTAAATAAGCAGAAACATAAACAAAAGAAGAGTGAAATGTAGAATGGAAAATTCTAAATTTAGATAACAGGCCAACATACAAGTCGAAGTTCTTGACTCTTTAACTGGATCTGAATTTTGAGAAACTGACAACCTTCCAAGAGGCTTTGTTTCCTTCAACAATGAATCTGAATTTTGTGATATTGATAACCTTCCAGCAGATTTTGTTTCCTTTGTCAAAGAATCAGAATTTTGAGAAACCGATAATCTTCCAAGAATCTTAGTTTCCTTCAACAAAGGATCTGTGTTTTGCGAAACAGACAGCTTTCCGAGAACAGCCTTTGAGCTGTTATCCCTCAGAATCGTTTGATCTTTGACTGAGCTAGAATTTTTATCCGAGTCATCGTTTGGTTGAGTAACGCCTCCAGCCATATATGGCTCTGTGCGCTGAACATGCGATTGGAAAGTGGATAAGAAGCTTAGAAATAATAACTGGTGGCTATATAGTGGAAAGGCCACTCGATAACAAAATATGTGCATAGGCAGGGCAATACCGAGAGATCTACAACCCATACGCCTACACAACTTTGATTGTATGAGCATCCAAGAAGCTTTCCCTCATGAAAATTCAGATCTGACAATCTTGACCAGCCAACATCCACCCCATCATGACACCTAATCGGCTCCCAAGAGAAAATCTAAAATTGGCACAAAAATTAAAAATGAAGGTTCGGTAAGCATGCACATTATTAAACAACAACGAAAACTATAAGTAACACATCCTCAAAAGAGATTTTGACAGGTCAACCTTCTTTAAGTAATGTGTAGGCACAGCATATTCACGAGATCAAATTATTGAAAGAACTTACCTTGAGACTTTCATGCAGCCCACAAAGCACAGCCTTCCCATCTGGATTAAATGTCAAGCAACGGACCCCAGTAGTCTAGCAGGAATCTGTAGGTCCTCCTTCAATTGACACTTTATACATCTCAAATTTTGATTACAAAAAAAATAATAAAAAATCAAAATTCATGAACCCTTCACCATAACGACTCCATTATTATAAAATTTTAAAAAAAATAGCTGTCATAATCAACCAACGTTCTTCCCATTCAAAAAAAAAATAATTAAAGATTTACTCGGTAATTAGTTTTTAAAAAGGGAAAAAATATGGTAAACGTTATGTCATTAGTTAAATAAAAATCTATTGACAAAGAAAGCGTGGTATTGGCATACGATACCTCAGGTCCAGCAGAACCAATCAGCTCGAATGTTTCAAGGTCCCAGAATTTTACGGTCCGATCAGCTGAACCTGTTACACAAAAGCAAAAAGAGAATCACTATATAAATTAAGAAATATGCCGTAAGAGAAAGAAGTTGCCGCCATTGAGTTATTGTTGCAACTAAAGAGAGGCTAGACAGAACAGAAGGCTGCTCTGCCCCTTTGTTCTCTCCCTACACATACCCTTCGGAAACATTTCTCCACTGTCTTAATAACAAGTCCAATATTATTATTATATGGTGTAAGAGGAACAAACTTACTTTTCATGGATATACTTTAAATTAGAAAAAATAAAAGATGATCAAGATAATGACATGAACGATTATTGATAATGCTAAATTGTTATTTCATACCACTATGAATATGAAGTTAAGCTTTTCATTTTGTTAATGTACTGTCATACCAACAGTCTTATGTCAGCCCTGAATACGTGAACGTCAATGTTAAGCGATTTTTCTAGATCGAGTACAACAAACCTGTTGCCAGCAGAAATTCATGGGGATGAAAATCTAGGCACTGAATTTGGCCTTCATGACACTTGAAATCATGCAACAGTTTTCCAGCTGTCAGATCCCATACCTGTTGAAGGCCACATAGTACATCAAGGAGCCATGTACAAACAGACAAAAGTCTCAGGAGTTTTACTTTTCAAGATAACAAATACAGGAGGTGGTGCAAATCTCAGAGAGATAGGATAAACAACCTAAAATAGTTAGAAAAATCAAAACCCTAAGTATTTGAAATGTTTGATTCTGTAGACCCTGAAAATGTAAGCACAATGCAAAACAAAATTATTTCAAAGTGTTTTCTTATTGGGTTAGTCGATTCAGCCATAGAAAGGTAACAAGAAACATCCACGAGCTCTTAAGCTAACTTAAAGAGGAAGATGCTTACAACGGAATTTCAGCCATGATAATACATACAGCATGGAAGATTAAAACAGAGATCAAAAGACTATCATCCTTCAACACCTACATACAGCATGGAAGATTAAAACAGAGTTTTATTATCTCAAAAGACTACCATCCTTCAACCCCTATTTCTACTTTATTCAAAATTTATGGTTCTATGTTTCTTGTAAAAGGAAAAAAAAAAGTTAACTAGTTTGCACTGTACATATTGACACCTCAATTGTTTTCCCCAATGCACAAGACAAAGTCTTACCAAACAAAGGAAAACAACCAAGGACAGGAAAAACAGATACTAACCTTCACAATATTGTCCTCCCCACCAGATACAACCCAACGGCCGTCTGGGGTGAATCTGAGTACATTGACTCCTCGAGTGTGACCCTTGTAAGTATGGATGCAACCCTTCTTTCTTATGTCCCATATCTTGAGATTTGTGTCAAGAGATCCAGAGGCAAAGAACTCACCAAAAGGGTGGAAATCCACCGATATGCAATTAGATCTATGGCCAGTGAGAGTCCTTACAACTATCAACAATGCGACCACAAGAATGTATTAGATAAACAAACGAGTTGAACTATGGCTGACAAGCAGAAAACGATAAGAGTAGTGTGTGTTTTCATGGAAATACAATACTTACTCTTAGCCTCCTCCAAATCCCAAAGTTTGATAGTACCACTTGCAGCTCCTGCTGCTACTAAGACTTCCGAAGCATCAAAAGTGACTGAATCAATTCCACTTGAGTGCCCATACAAGCTCTGACCAAAAACATCCACATAAGAGACGTCAGTTGGTAAGAGCCATTGGAAAGAAAAGTTACCGATACGCTCTCCTAAACTATGTACAAGGAATTGCCCACATTCCAACATCCTATCAGAGTATCAGCTTCAGTTAAAGCATCCTATAATATACCAAGACAAGCCACGGTAGAAGTAACAGAAGGAGAACTGACCAGAATGGCGTTGGGCTTACCAATAGCCCAGAGATTGACCTTGTGATCTTCCCCACCTGTTACAAGAACCCTCGATGACTTCCTCCCGATTTTGAGACAGTTCACAGCAGCAGAATGTGCCACAAATTCCTCTATCATTCAAGTCAAGGCTCAACAGCGTTACCAGACAAAAAGCTAGTCAAAATTCAACTTGACTAGTACTGAGAGGTCCAAATTATAACACAGATCAAGATAGATCTCGGGAACAAGAGGTAGAAGCAGCAGATCGAGCCCGGCATGATGTTGGGCAAAAGAGAAAACCTAGAAGGAATCCCGGAAAACATGAAATTAAACAATAGTGGTAAAGGATACGGAGCTTGTAGGCGCGCTTGGTGGTCATGGCCGAAACGAAACCCTTAGAGCGTCGGACATTCAAAATTCTCTCTCAACAATACAAAATATCAAAAGACCCAGAGAGCGGAAAAAAACAACCAAGATCCGGAGTCCAAATCCAATCGAGCGCGTCACAATCTGAAATCCCAAACAGGGAATAGATAAGAAACCGAGAGAATTGGAGATAACGCAAATTAATCACATCATCAGGAGAGATGAGTAAACGATAAAACAGACGGCATACCCGGCAAGTATCGGCTTCTTCTCCTCCGAACGAGAGAAACCCAGAACGCCAACCGCACTCCTCTTGCCTCTGGCTCGCTCGCGGAATCGTCGAGCTGTGGGGACAGGGAAAAAAAGGGTGAAATGGAGATGGGGAGTTGAAAAACAGTAGGAAGAAAGAAAATGCAGGAGAAAAGGCCTTGAAGGGGAAGAAGATCCGAGGAGTGGTTGAAGCGTATATTTAAGTGTTTCTCTAATGGCGGAGTAGAAAGGAAGAGAAGAGAATGACACAGTAGAAGAAGAAGAAGAAGAAGAAGAAGAAGAAGGGGAGAGAGAGAGAGGGGCGCAGTGTTTTTACCTGTCGGAGGGCTTCTTCTGATCTGCGCTTCTCCCTCTCTCTTTTCAAATTCCAAACATTTTTTTTTTCTGAACGAATCATCTGAAATTATATATAAATAAAATATTCGACCGAAATTATTTGTTTTGTGATATATTTTTTTTTAGATACGCTTTTCCTTTCTGAAAGCCACACTCATCCTTAATTTTAATTTCCACAAAATAATTAACCCGCGGATTATTTTACATTTCTAGATATAGTAGAACTGTAGAGTCTTAGAATCCTGATGAATTAATGAATAATTATTTAGATATTTCGATTTTCTTTCAATGGAGTTGAACATAATTAAAATATAAAAAAAAATATATTATATTTTGTAACATAATCCAATAATTGTGTTTGAAGATGAAGAGGATGTGTTATGCGATGACACAAATACATGTACGCGACTCACAAGGTTTGGTTGGAAAACAACGCACCGCCTAACTGCATCATGGGACCTCTCCAACTCGTGATTCCATTAAATCATATATTATAAACCTAAACAAAATATATATATATATATATATATATATATAATATGAAATAAACTTTATGCGAATCACATGGATGGAAAGACGGTTTAGTTGGGCTCTTACACATACACATATATATTCTCATGTGATTATTGTCCCTGACAAAAAAGAATGTATATAGAAATGGTTTGGTACGAGAGTGTGTGAGCATAGATGGGCTGGTGAATATGATTTCATGGACGGCGATGAGCAAAAATCTACACGCATTTTTTTTGTTGGAATCATTAGAATCAACATGATCATGTTACTCTCTCTCTCTCTCTCTCTCTCTCTCTCTCTCTCTCTCTCACACACACACACACACACACACTACACCCCCTTCTGTCAGTGTCTGTATGTTGTGTATACAACACAAGTCCATGTCTCTAAGTCTAATCTTTATGTGCCTATACCGGTTCTGAAGCCGCTGTTTACTGCCTTCACAAAATAAACGCCGACACCGACAGCCGACAAGGGACGAGGCTCTACCATCTGTCAATGGGTCCAATCTCCACTCCCCCCTTTCTGCTTCTTCTGACTCTGTCAAATGTGTAGTACACAACCCCCCTTGCAAAATTCCTCTTTGAGGTTGAAGCAGTAGAAACAGCAACTGGAACACCAGAAGCAGTCTTAAGTGCATTGTTCAAACCAACACTATGAGGAGTGCCTGATCCACTTCCTGTGGCTTCAAGCAGCATATAAAACAAGGAAAGACATGGTTAAATAAGCAGAAACATAAACAAAAGAAGAGTGAAATGTAGAATGGAAAATTCTAAATTTAGATAACAGGCCAACATACAAGTCGAAGTTCTTGACTCTTTAACTGGATCTGAATTTTGAGAAACTGACAACCTTCCTAACAATCACCAGGATCCAGAGTTCTAATACAATACAACCCATCCCATCCATAATGGGTCTAACTAAGTCTCAAGGTGCAGAACTCACCCCAAAAAGCTAGCTTGTTGGAAGAGGGTAACCATACCCTTACAAGGACTTAGTTTTCCAAGTTCCTAACCAACACACAATCTTCTTTTATCCATCAACTGGAATGTGCCACTACACTCCCAAACATAATAAGACCCTGAATCCGACTTCTTAGTAAACAACATCTGTATAGACATCTTAGCTGGCTCTTAGCCAAAAAAAAAAAAAGATCAGAAGATTCTCATCATGTTTTACTCCATGAAAAAAGTGCACGAATTAGATTATGCCCACGAAAAAGGGAAGAGGAAAACAAAAGCCTAATATTTCAATACCTCACCTACCTGCTCCAGCCTCCAAGCTCAGCCGTCTCAAACAACAAGGTTACTCTTCCTACTATCAAAACTCTGGAAGATCTCATTACATGAAGGCCAGGCCACCACCGAAACAATAAAGCTCCTCTTATATAATAGCTCCAGCTTTGTCATTTCACTCATCACTCTTAAGAGTTAAAAACTATTGGGAAAGCAGAACACCTGCATAGGAAAACCTAACTCAAAGCCGTCGCCCATAACTTGCTTAGAATCACCACACACAAAATATGATTAGAGTGAATTTTAGGTGTTGCATCTCATTCTTTCTCTTGTAGATCCAACGAAAAGGGAGATTAGTACTGCCTATCTCCAATTATATGAATCGCAATAGCAATTGGAGAGAAACATGATACAACAGAACACATGAAGTCGAATCTCATTCCACAAGGATTGCCCATGGCTGGCAGTAACTGGATATTCACTGACACACAAAAACAAGACTAACCTTGAACCCGACAGAGACTCTAGGTCCCAATACCCTGATAGCTCTAACCTTGGGAAGACCAGGAGGAAAAGTCTTGCAAGACTTAGTATAATCCACTAAACAGCATCCACTCCATAACCCTAGAAGATGAGACATTTTGTTGAGAGGATACTCCATGGATGTTACTCCAACAACTCATCCAACTCACAAAAGGTATACTTAAGGTGTACCAACCCCAATTAAGTAGACTCTTCTCCAAAGGCGTGAACGTGATCATGCTCAGAATCATCAAGATACAACCTTTATTGCCCCCCATCCACGAGAGTAATCATTTAGCTGAGAATGAGAAATCAAGAATAGCAGAGAGCAAAGCACTCCTAATTTCGGGCAAAACATATGTTTTATTCTGAAGGTATACATAGTCAATACAATCATTCACAACAACGAATTCGCATTCACGGATATCAGTGTGAGACAGAAGGGGATAGGGAAAATTGCCTTATTAATCACTGATCGATGAACTCGAACTCGTCTTCCTTGAGATGCGCGAAGAATTTGACAGGACCACGTCCCTCGATCTCCTTCACAAACTCTACCTTGTAAGGCAGATTCGCGGATATTCGCTTCCCCTTCCAGACAGCAACATAATTCTTGATCACACCTTCCATACCCGTCAAATCCACCTCCGGCACGCGAACCACATGGTACACCTTCAACGGCACGCTCACCCTAACCCTAGCCCCAACCTTCGACTTCTCCTCGGCCTCAGACGAAGAAGGATCGAGTCCTGCATCAACGGAAGCCTCAGATTTTACCGCTACATCGCATCGAATCCTCAATGATCTCCTCGAGGTCGAGATCGGAGACGCGCATTTGCCTGGACCGCGAGAACCAGACAGCGAAAAGGGAGCGAAGACAGAGGACCTGAGCACCACCGGTCCGGAGGCGGAGAGAAAGTCACGAGATGACGGAGGGCGAACGGCGGCGATTGTCGCCGGGGACAAGGCGAGAGCACACATCTGCGACGGAATCCGGTCTAAGGGTCTTTACTAGGCTTTCCGATATTCTTTTACGAACAAAAAACAACAAATGATTAAGTAATAAATAGATGCATCTTCGTGTTCCTATAATAATAATATATTCGCGTAGAAGTCGATCCATTTGGGATAATGATATAGAAATAAATATTCACGCAAAATGGGAGATGAACAGAAGGATGAGGAACGTGCGGCTCACACAGAAACCACATCATCATCTTCGGATAATAGCATTTTATTCCGCGGTTGAACGAAATATATGAAAGGATAATGATAGTAATAAACTAAAGTTTTACATAATGATTGCATGCCATGAAGGAAGGATTCCACAAAAGACATGAAAAGGATACACAGAGGGACTTCACCAAGAGGGGCGTGTAAGTAAACCAGTAACCAGTCCTGTGGCACAAAGGGATTACTCACTTCAAATGTTCTCCTAAAGCCGACAATAGAATTCAATATATGTATGTATGTATATATATAAACACCCCACCGTCTCTCTCACGACTTTTTTATTTTATTTTATAGAAATTGATTATTATGAAAGGCGAGGACGACGACCGGGGTGGTGGCCGATCAGTCTGCACTGGTCGGGAAGCATAGAGGATATAACCTCTCCGTTCAATGGGAAAAGCTCCCCGTCTATGCCGCACCCGTTATGCGTCTTGCTCCCTGCCCTTATCCTCACTGACCTCACCTGTCACAACCCAACACCCCCATAAGAATGCTTTCCTAATCATTCAGATTTTTCCATCCATCCATTGATTTTTTTTTTTACCTTTACGTACTCCACGTACGGAAGCGAGAGGTGCCGACCCAGTTGCAGAAGCACGAAGAACCTCATCAACCTGAGTCGACCGCTCCCGTTGACCAAGATCATGTCCATGGTCCTGTCGTCGTGTTCAGCCGTCGGTGCCACCACTTGCGAACTCTGCACCGTCCTACACGCATGGTTGCACACTAGTATCCCCAGGAAATTCCCCTTCTTGGCAACCCATTTGTCTTCAAATCTCATACCCTCCTCCTCCTCCTTCATCATCCCTCCATCCTCTGGTGGCCCAGGCAGCTCGATCGAATTCTCCACGTTCCAAGCCGATGGCTCTGAATCCCATTTCGGTTCAGCGTCCCAGATCGGACCCGGATCAGATAAGGTAGAAGATATGTCCTCCCTGTCATTAGCACCGGCATTCCCCCAAGAACATCGAGCTGAAGGATCCTGCACGGTGGTAGTTAACCCGGCCCATCCTTTATCCGTCCTTGACTTCGACCTAGTCCTTGGCCAATTAGGGGTTGTGGACAGAGGCAGTTGCGGGTGTATAACCTCTGGCTCAGCGACTGTAACATTGCTTCTGCCGGATGAGAGGCGCTTAGCTTTTGGATCTATCCCTCGGACATATTCAGACGGCTCAGTGCTGGCATGAGTGCTGCTACCCGTATCTAATTCCCCTCCAGACATCCTACTTGGGGTCATTATCGAGTCAATACTCGATAAACTGGAGGCTCTAGGCATTCCTTCTTTACTCGATCTCCTCATTATATCCATGTAAAGATATTGCATGTCGATAACTTCCTTTTCAGTTCCATTCTTCCCTTCACCCTCTTTTTGTGCTGGAAGATATTCCACTTCATAGCTATACTTTGGCAAACACATGAACTTGAGAAATCCAGCAATAAAGTAACGCAAAGGACCAAAGCGCTTTTGGTATTTTCCAGAGAGTTCCAAAACTGCAACAGATGATAACATCACAGTTGCAGATATTTCATTAAGGCGGCAAGGAAACACCAAGAAACAATGGCGCATGTTAGTGTGTAATAAATGCAACAAGAAAACCATACCTAAAGTCAGATGGTATTCACATCTAAAGCTCATAATACGAACATATGTCTAACTTAAACAGTGGCTCCAAACTCTTAGTTTCAGCTATCAAATTCATCATGAGATGATAAAACTACGAAAAAACCGCTTGTCACTTGTCAGAGTCAACGTAGAGTTCGTGCAGTGATAGTTAATGTACAAAAAATAACACTAAAAGCCGTAAAACACACGTTAACACACAAAGCTCCAAGGAATATTTGACAAACTTCCCTCAAAATGGCAAGAAGGAAGCAAACAGCTAAAGCAGAGAAAGGAAATAACCGAAAAGCCAGAAAAGCATAACGAAGAAAAATGGGAAACTGTATGAAAGGCCTTTATTTTGGTACAAAGCACCCAAGCATTCTCACTTACCATCGCTAACAAAACCATAGTAGGAGGCTGTCATTCCGAAGTGAATAACACCCGTTTGAATCCACTCAACAGCGAAGACATCAGTAGCTGTTAGACCACCCTAAACCAAAAAATTCCTTCATGTTGAGCAAACATTGACTGAGTACAACAATATAAACAATACATTTCTTCACAACTTTATTTTTTTTCAAATCGAACAAATTGATTTGCAGTTGAAGAATTTCTCGTCGGGTGGAATGTGGGGTTGTGAAAGATAGATATATCAGCAGTCCACAGCCAGTGCCCTTGAAGTACACAACATTTGTTGATCTGCTGATTATAACTAATAACCAATACCCTTGCATATACAAAAGAAGAAGATACTTCTTATGTACACAGGACCACAGAATGACAAACATCTTACTCAATTAAGAAAAAGCTAGATCAAATAACGTGTTATGTTTATTTTTTTAACAGTCATATTTTCAAAAATAGCAACTTGTTTCTCTAAAGTTCCTGTACAATATCACCTGCTCAAATTTTTTTTTTACGAAACGATAACATAGATCAAAATCCAAAACTACTAGCCTACTAAACCGATGTCACTAATAAAATGGCAGCACACAAAATGAATTCCAGAAACAAAGAAAAATGGCACACACAGGCACTACATGCAAGAAGCCGGAGTACCTTCACAATAGAAATTGCTGCAGATATAGGATCTCTCACACCAAGAACAGTCCAAACTAGCGAGTTGTCAGAACCAGCAGGTATTATTCCAATCGGGATAGAAATTCTTTCTTTATGGTTGCTTCGAGAGAGTAATCCATTGAGAACCTGCGGCATTGGGAACCGTAAGGCATTAAGAGGAGGCTCATTCCATGTAAATAGAATATGGGAGAGGTTAGCATCAGATGCTGTTTTGCATCCAATCCTACCCTGCCAAATCACCTCTACATCATAAGGAAAATCAGGATACAGAACTTTCATGACTTCCGCAGGTTAGTTTAGTACAAGTACATTCATTAAGATGTGTGAGAGTTCTCAGTTCTGAGCTAACGGCCATTTGCATGAATGGCATGCTTACAAAGCGAAGTGTAAAGAGCCCACAAAGCTGAGTCATATACGATTTCTTTCATTTCAATATAAAAGTCGGTTCATTGATAAGTCAGTACTTAGAGAACCTATAAGAATTAAGGAATACAATATGATGAACACTACATAATTCCTAGTGCTTAGAGCCTAAAAGAACTCAATACATAAGGAACGCTGATTATCAGACCTCATTAATGATCCCATCGCCACCAACACAAATTATTCCTGGAAGGATAAAAAAACTGATAAGGCACAACAGAAATGGTATGGATAAGAAAGACAGCCACACTCTAATTTAGAAGCTAGATATGTAATATGCCATTAAGTGATGCACAAAGCAGCGGTACCGTCTGAGCATGCATTGATGTCAACAGTGGAAGCCAGCTCTCTTGCATGACCCGCTTTAGTTGTTTTAACCACCTCCAACTTAAATCCAGCAAGCTGTGGAATTTGCAACACAATGCACGATTGTAAGGAAAAAAAGATAAAAAAAAATATTAAATACTACCAAATCGAATTGGAAGGAAGTATTCTCAAGGGCACAGATAACTTAAATAAGTTTGGTTGCTTAACAGTTCTGAGACATTATTTGGGCATGGAAATTGGCATGACAAATGACAATTAAGCCAACCGAGATGAAAATAATGAAATTACAGCAATAATACCTTGAAAATTGGTTCCACTATGTCATGGAAAACTTTGGAAGATCGCCCATGCCCTGACCGAGGGTTTAATATGACAAGCATTTTGGGTGGACTCTTGCACCTGAAGATCAGCTCAGGAGGAGTGTCAATGGGAACCGTAAGTAACTCAGATGACGCCTGTTTTTTTGAAGAGACTAATGGATGTGGCAAACAGTTAACGAAACACTGTTGATCTGCAAAACTTGCTACCCATTGAACTGCTTCTTCTATTGTAGGCGCCAAAAAGCGGAAATCTTTGCGACTTCTCTTAGGTTTCATGAAACAAGAAAGGCCACATGAACCCTTTCCAAAAGGATAAGCATGCACGGTGAAATGCCTGAGACCAACATTGTATGTGACCTGTCAAAATCAGAGGATAGAGATGAGTTAGTCGATTAGTACCTGTTTTGTAAAATGAATTTAATGGCCGATTACTCTGCAGAGAAAAAAAAAATTACCGACACAACGTCGTCAAGTTGTAGCATGTGAGAACCCCAAACAAGAGCCCTGCTTGTAAGCTTGGCATCCACAGCTTGTTTGTTCGGAATGTCGGGGGATGATGATTGCTGATCGTCTGTAGCGCTTTTTCCACTCACAGACTTTCTCTTATCCAGAACAAGCTTCCCAGAGTAAACAAGACAACCTAACAAATTCGATTTCTCATCCCCTCCACCAATATCAATACGATGCTCATCAACTTTTGGTTTCACTTGGGTATCATTCGTGACCTCGTTGTGTTTCGAAGAAGCCTTGACCTTCTTGCTGCGCTTCTCAGGGAATACAATGGGTGATGACTGCTGAGGTCCACCAGTGGCTATTTGTGAACACAAACCCAAGCGTCTCAGTGACTGCGGTGCCTGAGGGATCATTACTCTTAAAGAAGAATTTCGATTCACACTGCCACTCTTCTGCATAGCGATTCCACTAACCTCGTTGCTCTAGATGCCAACCGATAAAACAGACTAAAAGGATCGAGGGACATAAACAACCAAAAACCCTAATTCCTGATGAGCAAAAACAATCCAACAAAAATCAGACGCCTTTGACGAAGCCCCCTCACTCGAGCTGGTCTATGAACAAAATTGTGGGGAGTCAATTACAGCATATACAATAATCCTAATCTAACAGCGAAACCCCGCGACTGAAGATCAGATCCGCCAACGCAATAAAAAAAATTCCAGAAATCAGCCGCCAAAATTTCCCGTATATATATATCCTGCGAGACATCGAATTACACAATTCAATAGATAAACCTGCGAAACCTCAACTGATCATGCGGAATTCCAATAATATAGAACAGAAACACAGCAAACTGCCTCAAAATCGGAAAGGGAATCGTCGCGAAGCGAAAGGAGGAGAAAGAAGAGCTTGTTCAGCAATTTGCCCTTACCTCCGCCGATCGGCGACGAAAACAGTAGCAAGACTAACGCCACCGGATAAAACCCTCGCCGGAATTGAAGAAAAGTGACGGAGAGTGGGAGAGAGCGACAATGGCGGAGATGAATGGAATTGGACTCGATTGGATTATAGACAGCAGAAACCTAAGGCCCCTTGGTTTTCGGGGGGCATTTCCATTACAAATCTTTATGGTCTTTCGCTTTGTATTATATATACATATATATATTATCAATAATCATTCATTAAAATTAGATTAATTACGGAAGAAGTTTCCTAAATCATCCCTCCATTAATCAGAATCATTCGTATTTTATTTTGGTCTGGACCAGACCACTCTCTTCTTTGCTTTTTTTTTTTGAATGCACCTAATAGCATGTGGTTATAAATATCAAAATTAACCAAAGTCAATAAATTTATATGCAATTTACCATTTTTAGTGAAAATACTTATCCACATTAGTTTCACCCATATTTATTTAGTATCCCCCGAAAAATCGTTAATGTAATTTCAAAAATCATTTAATCACTAATTCTAACATCAATATAGTTTTGATATACAAAGTAGAATTCGAATTCTAAATTAAAATAATTAAAATTCTATAATATTATCAATATGTTAAAAATTGTTATTTTAGAATATAGTTTTAAGGTTCTATACAAATTCAAGCGTTCCATTGAATAAGCGCTTTATCAACATATTCATTTATTTATTTAGGAGCGAGTCCTAATGTATGTGGAGCATGAGAGGACTGAGGACGGCGGATTTGAGGTGGGTTGCCTGCCTAATCACACATGTGACATGGCATGTATTGATTATAACTATTTAAAATGGTTTAGTAATAGTAATAATGATGATGATGGCAAACGGATCAATGGAATGATTAGGTGAACCAAGGCGGTTTCATCCTTCTTAGATGAAGCTATATAAAAATAACGGTTTGTTAAATGTCTAAATTAGCAGTTGATATATAAAAATAACAGTTTGTTAAATGTCTAAATTAGCAGTTGATAGTAAGGTTTTGAATGGTAGTGGCTTTTATTTTGGGTTTTTGGCTTTAGTTTTTGGTTTTTAGTTTTTAGTTTTTGGTTTTTGGATTTTATAAGTTTGTAAATCTAAAAAATTGTAGCTTTTGGATTTTAATTGATTTTTTTCAAGTAGATTTCCGTGTTTTTAGAAAAACCAAAATTTAAAAAATTTGATTATTGGTTTTTTCAGTTTTTAAAATCTAAAAACTCCGAAAACCACATCTCATTCAACACCTAAATCTAAAAATTGAATAGGTATAAACTAAACTAACTTAATCTAAATCTAACCATGGATAGCCCGATACACAAAGCGTCCCCGTTGAGTGAGATCTGGAGAAAGATCCCACCACAAGGGTGTTAAATTCCATAATCTAAATCTCACCATATAATTAAAAAAATAAATTTAAAATAATCGAATCAAAATATAATACAAACTCAACAATTCAATCACTAATCTAGTAAACAACATGATTATGTCAAATTTATACAACATAAAATATCAGAAGCCAAGAAATGAAAAGAGAAAAAAAGAGGAGACTTTGTTTACCAAAAATAGCATCGGTTTACATTTTCTGTCTTTGAGTTTTATTCTAAACAGAAAGAATCATATGGAAGTGTGAATTTGTGCAACAAGCAACTGGTCTAAGTCTAACCTGAGGGGTCTATGTTACAAACAACAACATTGAAGTGTGAAGAAAGAAAAGGAACCTGCAATGTAAGGCAACTCTCTCATTGCTTCACTGTGGAGCTGTTCCTCTCCTCAGCTGCTGTGTCGGAACTTAGGCCGCACTGTGATAACTCCTGGTCTTGTCTCATCGAACTTATACCTGCAAGGCAACTCTCTCATTCCTCTTTTCACTTTGATATCAGGTTATTTAGTTTTATATATATATATATATAAACAGTTGCATTTTCACCCTTTATCCTCGACGAATCTCTTCACAGCTATAGGGAGTGAAGCATGTCCATGGCTGTGATTCCCGATACCTGCAGATAGAGACAACATGTAATGCTATAATGTATCTGTGACAAAAACTCTTCAGATGGGGCATCCTGTAGATAAGATGTCAACACGATCAACCATTTTAGTGAAGTGTCGACCGGCTTAACCTCAAAGATACGAGGATTAATATCGGTTTGTCACACAGGCGGGAGTTGAAATGGTGCTCCGTTTTGATGTATTGAGACCACAATTGGTTCAGACACAGAAACATAGCTTTCACAGGATAGCAACCGATGCATTTGTTGTCCCGGGAAATAGATGGAAATACATACCTGTTATAACCTGCAACGAGTTTTGAAGTTGCCTGGAAGACGTCCTTTGAACATCTCGCCTCTCCATATTCAATCTACTACAAGGCTCTTGTGATGCAGACCTTACAGCCCCATTCTTTACTCTGCATCGATTTGGGGATACTGAGCGATTCACCGTTACTTGACTCTCAATCTTCTGTAAACGTTCTTGCAAAACTCGAATAGCTTCTGTTGCATGGAGACCATGGAGATCCAACTTCCATGTGTCATTGCTCCTATTTGTTATACTCAAAATTTTCTCGGCTGCCTCAGAATTTAGCCTCTCAGCCGCTAACCAATCCTCCCTCGCTTTCTCAGAATGGTACTTGGCGGAAGAATGATCACCTCTTAGAAAAGCATTTTTAGCAGCTCTTGAATGATGTGATGCTGACCTGTTCGACGGAAAGAACCAGGACTACTCAATAGCTTATCATAAGTACCGGGACTTTGATATGAGAAGCTGATTAAATCGCCGTAGCCTGAATGAGTTTAAAATGCACTTTTTAACAAACTTATGCAACATTTAGACATGATCAATGATGATCAAATAGCAGTCGACATCAAAGCTAACAACTTAACGACAGATGAACATGAAAAGGAATTCATGCATTTACGTACCTCATCATTTTCAGGGCATCCTTGCGATGACTCAAATAAAGATCATCCTCTTCCCACTCGGGTTCTAAAGGTATGGACCGAAGGTTCTGAATAACCACATCCAGGTCGGAAATAACATCAGTGGTTTTTGTGCTGTTGGAAGGTTTCACCATAAAGGTACTTCCTTCACCGTCTGGTAGATTGATGGAAGCCTCATCAGCGAACCTTCCGTTATCAGATGAAAAGCTGTCTACGTTTGACCATAGCTCTTCAGCTTTCGTGATATCACTATTCTGTGAAGAGTGACCAGTAGAAACGATCCCTCCTAGAAAATCTAAAGCCATCTCAAAGTTATCGTTTGTAGCTAACAATATATCTGTTATCAAGTTATCATCTGCCCAGCTGTAAAGTTCCTTGAGCTTCTTAATGGCCGAATCATGACTGTTAACTGGTGCAATTGAAGTGCTTGATTTGCTACCGCAACTGCCACTACTTGCATGGTTTCTGCAATCCTTATTCTCAGTCAAGATCGGAAAGTCCAATGGAGATGTCACAACTGATGAGAAAGATTTTACACAAGGTTCATGATCTTTTCTCGGCTTCCCTCTGGCATCTAGTGGAGGTAAACCGTTTGAGACAGGCGGAAAAGGGTCCGCCTCAACCCCGCTTCCGAGTCCTTGTTTCTGCCTCTGCTTGAGATCAAAGGCAGCCCAACCAGATGATTTGCCCTTCATCCAAGACATCTTTGCAGTGCATGAGTTGGAAGCAGTGTTTATCATACAAAGCCCATCATGGTAATACTACAACAAAGGTCAGACAATTTTCTGATCAACCCCCAAGGACAACTGATTCCGGAGAGGAAAGTGACAGTTTATACGAAATAACATATCATATACCAAAGCACCAGAGAAACCGAGCATAGGGCTTAAAGGAGGGGAAAAAAGAACATATCATTTCTGTAAGAGAATCGGCACAAAGATAAGTATCACTGTGACTGAGGACTCCAGTATCACCATGATTGATATACACGTAAGTAAACAAGGTACTCAATCTGTTTCCGAGGGGAAAAAAGCATTTTCGAACTCAGACAAAAAGCTCAAAAACTCGTGTCCAAAGCCGAATCCTTTTGGCGCAATTAGAGGTCTACAGAAGAAATTAACACTCAAAGCAAACAGCAACGGTGGAAGAACGCCATCATCAACTACAGAACAAGCACACGGAGACAAACAAGCTAAGATACATTAAACAAAACCCTACTACAGATATGGAGAAAATAACCTCTTTTTTCCCAGATTCGTCGGATGCAGAAGCGTGCTCGGAGATTCGCAAGTTGTGACAGGACAACAACGGTCGTAGACGAATAGGACACCTACCGGCGGCGAATCAGACGGCTGAGACGTAATCGAGATCGACGGATCTGATCTGATGGTTGGTCGTTAGGCCGCCGGAGGAGGAGGAGAGAGAATTTATCAGATTCTTCACACGCGGAGAGGGAGACCGCAAATGGTTGCATATTACGATTTTGTCCTTCTCGAGCCTTCGTCAAACAATACCCACATAATATTATTATTATTATATTATACCCACGAAATGATTCAAATTTTTTTGCCGATACTAAAAATAATATATATATTATAAGATCCAATACGAGACAAACAAATATAAATATGCGTTAGCTAAGCGGAGAGTGCAGCCACGCGCTCGTCGACGAAATCTTTTATCCGCACTACCATCTCTCTGGATTCGGCCACTTGGGGGAAGATATAAAAGGCATGGAACATGTTTGGATACTCCAATAACTCTGCTCTTTTCCCGGATTTCTTTAACCACTCGTAGTACCTTCTCTGCCAGTCCTGCAACGGATCGAATCCTCCGACGATCACCATCGTCGCCGGGAACTCCTCGCCGGATATGTCGACGGCGTTTGGTCCTGATACGTTCGCCGCCACGTGGTCCCGGTTCGATCCCTCCGGTAGAACCGCCTTCCATGACCAGTCCGTCCGGCGGACAGAGATCAACGGAGCTCCAACGATGCGCTCCTCCGCCTCCGTGCGCTCCTCTCCGCCGAAGAACGGCTGGATCGCGATGATTCCGGTGATTTTCACGGCGCCAAACCCAGCGGAGCAGGATCTGACGGCGACATTGTGAGCGATGTTTCCGCCGGCGCTGTCCCCGACGAGGAAGCACTTCGTCACATCAGCGTTCGGGGGAAGAATCGTGGCGTGATTCTCGTCGAGAAACTTGAGAGCGTCGAATCCGTCGTCGTATTGGGCTGGGTAACGGTGCTCGGGAGCGAGACGGTAGTTGACAGAGACGATGTAGGCCTGGATTTCCCGGGCGAATCGGCGGCAGAAGCGGTCATAGGCGATGGAGTCAGGGCTGAGGAAGACGAAACCACCGCCGTGGAAGAAGAAGACAACGGGAAGGCGGCGAGAGCCATCGTCGGAGGGGGGAACGTGGGGGGAGAAGACGCGGAACCAGAGATCGCGGGAAGGATCGACGGAGAAATCTGCGGTGGAGACGCCGTTGGAGGGGCGAGGGCTGACGGGGGAGCGGAAGTCGAAGAGGCGGAAGAAGCCGCCGCGGGGGAGGGAGCCGTCGGGTCGTTGGATTCTGTCGATGAAGGTGGAGGCGAGGGAGAGGGTGAGTCTGGTCTTCAAAGGGATCGACAGCCTCTGTTTCGGGTGAATCTCCGTCGCCATCTCTGCTGGTCCTTCAATGGCGTTTCAGACGCTGTGTACTCTCATATATACTCCCCCCCAGAAATCGAACAACTCATATTTGGCTGCAATGAGTTGGTTTTCATGCAAATGTGAATTTTTACTAAATTAGTCGATTGTACATTTAGTGTAAGTTGTAACGGAGCTCTCCGCCACCAAACTTGTACGAAACCATATTGATATATATATATATATATGACCAAAAAAAACAAAAGTTAAAAGGATACGGTCTGAATCAAGATGGCATAAGGCTGTTTACCTCGATTCTCAAAGAGATCACCATTCCTCCCGCTCGTTCATGAAATCATCCCACATTCTCAACGCAATGTTCTCTCGCAGAGAAGCAGCAACATGCTCATGCGGTGTAGATTCCAACCGCATCAACTCCACCTCTTCCTCATCTTCCTGTTCCGGCCAGTCTTCCACCGCATCACGTCCCGACCCCAGGAAGAGCCAGTCGTTGCGGTCTTCGAGCCGTATAAAGTTGTGCAGAACGCTAGCAGCGATCACCAGATCCCGCTGCACGTGGAAAGCGTACTGAGGGGCGGATTTCAGGATGGGAAACCTCGTTCTCAGCACGTCGATCGATCTCATAATGGCATTGCTCAAGCACTTGTGCCTGTGGTTGAACAGCTCCTCAGGGCTCCTCGGTATCGAGTTCGCGCCTCGGAATTCTCGCGTATCGTACCTCACTCCTGGGTACGGAGCGATGAATCCCTTCACGTTTGTGTAGCCTCTGTCCACGAGATAGTATTTCCCTGGCGAAAAAGGCAGTGGGGTTCTTTTCAAGAATCGTTTACCGAAATGATTCTCGTTAAGAGTCTCTCACCTTCGGGGACTCGGGGGAAATTTTGATTAGGGTTGTTCAGGACTCCTCCCAAGATCCGTGAATCCGGGACAGAACCTTCCCATCCGGGATACACGAATATGAACTGCAAGTCGAAGGTGCAAGCTGCAAGCACATTTTGGGTCAATACCCCATTCTTGTTTTGAAAACGGGAAGCCTCTTTTGCGGGAACATGAGCTGGAATTTGCATCCCGTCGATAACCCCGATACAATCCTGGCAGCAAGCAAGCAACAAAGGCAAGAATCCAAACCACATTTCCTCTCTGCATTGCACATGAACCAGAGATTGTTTCAGTGATTATAGATCCTTACCTTGAAATACGGATAAAATCTTTTGCTACCGGTTATTTCCCGAGGTGTCGCCTGAGGTGGTGGCCTCAAGATTTCCCGTGACAGTGACTTGACCGCTTTCAACACGTTGTTGAAATGCCGGCTAATGGTTTCACCAGAATGTCGAAATCTTTCTTGTATCACTCTGTTACGCTGATTGTGACCCACAATGTTCAAGAATATGGCGATCTGCTCTTCTATCATAACACCCGCAGTATCCCGCAGTAAACATTTCCGCCGTAGAGTGTCGGAAAGTTTACGAAACACTCGTTTATCCATCCGAAGCATTTCCCTGCAATCATCATCAGGCCCTTCAAGAAAGCCCTTCATAAAAGCACATCTCGTAAGAGGGAAATTACTCGGATGCGGGCTAGATAGGCCGCGTAAATAGTAGTAACTGGCAGCCGCAGCCATTAGTTCCATCTCATCCAATTCTACGTCAAAATCGTCGCTGTTAGAAGATGAATCTGTAGAAGTAAAGCAAGAGACAACATGTGTAATAATACCATAATACCATTAATGATTAAAAGGTTCATGATACAAATTTAATACTCCAAACTGAGGCTATTCAACTCTACACTTTCTCTGCAACCACTGCAGGCGTTTCTCGTTTTTTAGAGAGATGAAAATTTCACGGGCATTCGGGTTCTCGAACAAATCCAAGGCAAGAAAATAAGTGTGATGGTCAACACCTTGGATTTCATCGAGCACTTTTATGCATTTGCTAATGGAAAACCTATCCTCTTTCTTCTTCGTCAAAGCAGCAGCCCTCATCTTGGAAGCCGATGCGATTTCAAGCATGGCTTCCACTATGGCGTCGCCACTGGAGGCCTTGCGGGTTCTCTTACGCAGACAAGAAGCAGATGGTGTACTTCTGTTCTGTCCATCCACGACATTCGCATCATCTCCCGAGCCAGAGGAAGGCTCATCATCTACGTATGTAACCTGTGCACCATGATCAGCAGCCATGGTTGTGCTAATCTTCTGTATCAAACAGAAAGCAGAGGAATAGGGAAATATCATCACAATATCATCTACAGCTGAGGAAATGACATCCGAAATCAAATACGTCACGTGTGGGAAAAAAAAAACCCTAAGAAAATTGAAGCTTAAACAAGAATCGAAACGCAAATTACAGGATCATTCCGAACTGCAAAATCACAAATTCGTTACACAGTATAACTTCTTCGCGGATTTCTCGTTTTCTCTACCACAATCACCAAGGTTCAAGTCGCAAACAGCTTTTCCTGGTTAGAAATCACAAAAAATGTACCTATAATGATTTGGAAAATAGAAGCGTAGAATGGAGAATTTCAGTTCATGAGCTACGAGATTATAGGGTCGTTACATGAATTTTCCAGGAAACCAAACCGATCGCGTCATCGTACAGAGTAGAATCAGAATCAGGAAGAACTCAGGAAAGAACAGAAGTAAGAGACACTAACCCACTCCGCGAATTACGATCACAAACTCTAGGGCTCGATGGGTTTTCCGATTTCAGCAGAAGGAAACAATCTCCACTCTCCGGTGGTTCACGTCTGATGACTGTGCTGTGCCTTTTACTTGTCTGATTTTTTTTTTCTTTCCAGTTTTCTCGCCCGTTGCCCGAAAAATCGCAGCCAGGTAAAGGATGTAAAGCTGAAAGCCCACAATTGCCTTATTGGGCCACGCCTTCGGCCCAAAAACAGTTTCAATTATTGATATTTTATATATTTTACTTTTAGTTATGGGTTAAAACATAGAATTTAAATAATTACCATACATACACAAATACACACACATACACACATACAAACATACATTTATACATACAGGCATACATACATACATGCATTAGATACATAGTCTGTAGTCTGTCTGAAGAATGAATTCATATAAATATATTTTTGTAAAACCGACAAAGCAGAAAACAATCTGTAATAACATGAGAAAGACAAAATACAAATCATCCATTGGTTATGAAGCTCTTTTTTTTATAAAAAAAATTTGTTCTTTCCTAATTGGGAGAGAGGAAATGAAGGCGAGCAAGTGTATACTCTTTGCCACCAATCCACACACCAGTCTGCGACCACTGTACGTCTTCCCAGTCCAAGCTCTCCTCTATCACCTGCATTCATTCATTCATCCATTCATTCATTCATTCATTCACCAAGTTGTCTAAAAGCCATGAAAATGAGGACCCTTTTTGCTTTCTAGCTTATATGGTTCTTTACCAAGTTATGGGAGGAGGACATGATATTGTCAAGAAAAAGCGGAATTTAACGAGAGGAGGAGTTTACTTGGATATGGTCGGGAGGGAGTGGAACCCCGATAGAACGCATGACCTTCTGAGGGAGCGGCTTCTTGCAACGTGACCAGCGGAATACATCCACTAAAACGTTATCCGAATCTGTTTTCTCCCCGTTTGGCATATGAGCGTGATGATTCTTATCTGTCTCAGCTTCATGGGAGGAGTGTGATGCTTGTACAGCTTTCATGCTCTTCTCTCCAGCAAAACACAGCTCATACCTTTTCTCCCATATAATAAATTATACAGAAAAACTCAGAGAGTTTCAATCTATATATAAACGTTTCCAGGAACGATGTAAGTGCAGCTATCGATCGATCGGGACAGTAGTTACCTGCATGAATGTGTTTCCAAGTACAAAACTTCTCCCTTCTTCAAGCGTGCCGATGTGAAGAGGGGCTTTTTTAGACCCTTATCAGCTACCATGCTGATACTGTACTTAATCCTGCATTGAACCACATATATACATATATATATATATGTATATACATGAGCCCCTAGACCATATTTTAAGGAAATATGAACGAAAGGGCAAAAATAATTGCATAGAGGTTTCGAGGGGTACCAAGGTTCATTGCAGAGATTGTACTGTATGGTAACTTCTCGTACGAATCTTTGTTGCCGCAAAGCGTTCTAAACGAGTGTAAACAAAAGATCAGCAGTTGCCAAATATAGATGAAAATGTGAACCCTCCTTATAAATAAAGAGAAATTTCATTCAACAATTCAGTGATTATAAAAAAATTTTACCGAAGCTGCAGCTCTGGTAGTCATAGATCTCTCGACAGCCATAGGAGCAAGTGTAGGCTCAACTGTAGAAGAGTGTGTAAGGCATGGTTCGAGTTCAATAGTTCCACCTTCTTTCTGCAATTGGAAGGCGTAGAAATAAGAAGGCATTAGAAAAAGAACTGTTTCGTGGCTCCATAATAATTTAGCACAAAATGGCTTGGCCTACTCGATATTATGTAGTTGGAAGAAGATAACTGGAAAACAACGGAAAGAGAAGAAAAAACGGGGAGTAAAATCACCTTCACAACATAGCACCTCTCAACCCTGTAACTGCATCCGATCCCAGCTCCCCACGCTCGGGAACGGACATTATTCCTCAGCTTGGATGTATAGCCTAAGAAATGTCGCAAACATATCAAAAGCTGGATAAAGCTTTTCATAGTAAATAGAAAGAAGCTATACGTATCAAGTGCTCAACAGTTCTGATAGGTAACTCAAGTTCCACAAATTCAAGATCCGAGACAACCTCTGTCTTCCAAATCTTCAGACAAACCCACCTGTCCCGTCAAATATGGGTGGACAATTGGATCTAAAGACCTAACACCATTTATTCTCTTGAAACAACAAAGAAAAAACTTCTCCTATCGGGTTTTTTTTATTGCTATTGGGTTTTGGATGTTCCTACCCGAGTCTATCATGTTCTTGCCCATGTGCCATTTCAGATGGTGACAAGCAAAGCAAACAAAATATAAACAGAAGAAAGACAGTGTACAAAAGAGAGGAAGGGGTTAAAATCCAGACAGGTCTTAACGAGAACTTACAATCTTGTGAAGGTAAAACCCTGATAGTAGCACGCAATTCTTGAATTGCCGGTGGAGGAGGAGAAGCTGTGGGTCGGCAGTAACCTGTATGCATGAGAACTAGTAGACAAATACCATGCATCAGCTCAGATGACACAAGTAAAAGGTATTTAACTGAAAAAGAAAAAGATTATTCTCAGCACATACCAGCAACAAGATCTGAATCATCTGTGTATATATCTGTTCCCCATAGTTGGCCACCTCTCACCTGCATACGAATCGATCCAAAAATCTCAGCAGATAATAGGTAAAAGACAAGAGATCAACCATCCTATAGCTATCGCGTTTGCTACCAGATGCCACAGAGAAATGGTTGTGTTCATTGTTGTTCTAATTCTAAAGCACGTGTTTCAATAAGAAAAAACAAAAAATCTGGAAAACATGTTAGATTACAACTTCACAAAGCAAGCAAGAAACAGGAACAAGAGAGCTAGATTGAGAGAACAAAGAGAAAGTCGATGTATCTCAATCTTACTTGGCGATTGGTAGCAGTAACATGATCAGCTGGAATCCGAACTTCAAGAATGGGACCATTATTTGCGAAATCCCCACTTTTATCAGGATGGGATGATTCGTATTCCTTCCATAGCTTAATCAATTCTTGCATGCATTCTCCAACTTTGTAAGTAACAGTCGGCACTTCTGATTTGCCTGCATCACCAGTACAACAAAAATTCGACAAGTGTATTCAAGATGAAAACACGTATTTCACGATAGCCTCACCAACTATGAAACTGTTGACTCGATCCAACGAGAAACCACGGAGCAGGTATTGTCAAGAAAGACACAACACATGCTGGCCTAACCCGGTTTTCCCATATTAAATTCGTGTTCAGGATCAACTGATTTCTCATTCCTTTCCTTCAACATCCTTGAATTCTTGTTCATAATCAACATGATAATGTGGAAAGAAGGAAATGCGGCCTAAGGACAGACCGACCAAGGATCTAAAATGACAACAGACAAACCTAAGATAAGGTTACAGATGGTTATCAAGAAATGAATATCAACTGAGATATTATTGAATCAAAGCAAATGATCAAAAACCATTTCCAGATATTTATTTCGATTTCGGTTCTCCAGCCAATAGAAAGATCCCTGCTCGATTATAACAAGAGAGGAGTGTCTACCTAGAGATCTGCAAAAAAAAAAAGAAGACATAATGAAACACGATGTGAGCATGCGTTTAAAAGCCAAAGAAGCAAAAACGATAATGATCCATATTAAAAAGGGAAACAAGAAAGGACTCAAACCAAGAGACTACATAGTGTATTCGGAAATAGAAAACGGGGAGATCTAATCTTCTTTGACAGAAACGAAAATAAGACGAGGGCAACAATTCAACGATAGAAGATCATTTTACCTGATCATTTTACCAAACACCAGCCGATCTTAAGAGTCTATATCAAATCATACGACGAATTCTGAGTGGGAAGGAAGCCCTAATTATAACTATGGAAAGGCCTTCACCTTTCAGATGCAAATCAGTAAGTAGGATATAATTCACATGCCTTTCACAAGGTGCACGTTTTTCCAAAATAAAAATGTTTCATCTTATTGAGTTAATTCATAACATATACCAAACAAGTGAGAAATAGGTAACCAAATGATAGACCTATACAAATCAAACATTCGAGACGGAAGAAGTTTTTGAACCAATGATTGCGGGCCATTCGCCATGGAGAACCATGGGCCGTTTGAACAACTGATTATGGGTCATTCGCTACGGTCATGGACCGAGGCACAACCATGGGCTTCTAGCAACATTTTTGAAGAACTCAAAAAGATTTTAGTTTGATTCACTTATTTAAATCAAGATTTTATTCATTATTTTAAAGCTTTATGATATGTTAGGCTTTCCAGTTTGTGCATAATTGGTTTTCATTAATATTTCCTTTTAAGGTTATCTTCTATGAAAAGAGGCATATAAAAGAATAAAAGTGTCCCAAAAGTTTCTGAAGAAAATATTGGAGATTTTACAACCCTTCCAGAAAAAACTTTGGAGATTCAGCACGTCTCAAAGTACCAGCACCCTTAGCTAGGGGAAGGGCTTCACTTCCCAGTTCCCAGTTATGTCATTAGACAAGCAAACCTTTGCCATTACAAGCTACCCATTTAAGACTTCCAACATAAGCAAATGCTTTCTAAAATGAAGCAAATGTATTCTAAAATCAAGATTAATGAAACTGATACTATCATATTTACCTCAAGTGAACATATTAAGGTGAGATTCAAACTTGTCATGGATGAATCATATATTTGGGGAAAGAGATCACCAAAAAACATGGCATCTCATTAACTTTCGACAAGCAAGGAATTGACACCGATCAAATACATTATTCAGCAATTTATGTAACTTCCATAAGAAACATATCTTTTCATGGATCACCAAACAAAAACTGAACCGATAAGGAGTAAAGCCTCAAAAGTTTAGCAGGATATTCTCCTCTTAGCATCAACACCTTTAACTTAAATGCTGGACCAAAAGCAGTGTATTTGGAGCACCATGGATACAACTAAAAACCAATCATTATACGAAGCTAAAAAGCACAGATAATTCTTTTATCAGCGCCTAGATACGTCCTGTGCATGAAATGTGTAAACCTACCTTGCCAAACATCTTCTAACTATCCAATGTATACCAAATCAAACAATTTTAGAAGGCTCCAGTTTCAGAGTTAAGCAAACAGGTTCAATCAAGGACGTGCATATCTCTCTAAATGGTACACATAATTTCAGGAAGCCAGTGGGAAGCATATCATTGGAGGATATATAAAATGACTGAACAGGAAAACTAAGACAAGGAAACGCACCCTTCATTGTCCTGAGCCCGTGAACGGAAACGATCACGATTAGTCATTTGTGGGCTGCCTCTTGGCCGAAGCATCCTCTTTCGCTGCTGGACTCCATTATTAAGGACATCCTTGTCTTTCTCTGTTGCTCCTTCACCATCCACCAATCCCTCTTCGGATTCTTTTTCATTGATTCTGCTACGCTTTTCAGCTCTCTCTCCTTCTTCAACACTGTCTCTCTCCCTCCTTTTGTCCTTTGACTCTCTTTCGGCACCACCTTTCCAGTTATCTGCATCTTTTGGCTTCTTCTGTTCAGACGTCATATTTTCCTGTTCTGGAAGTTTCACTGATGCTTCTCCCAACTCTTTATCATTCTGTGTGCCTTCTCTCTCAGCATTACTCCATGCCTCTCTTTTGATGTGATCTTTCTCTCTCTCTTTTAATCTATCCCGGTCCTTCTGCTCCATCTTCTCCCGTTCCCATCTATCTGCTTCTCTATCTTCTCTTCCAATTTCTTTGGTCTCACCTGTGACACCACCAATCTGCAAGGATCCTCTGCCATCATTTCTTTCCTTATCCCGTTCTCCCCATTCTCGGTGCTTCAACTCTTTGCGTTTCTTCTCCTTGTCTTTAAATCTATCATCGATTTTTGCATCAACTTTATTCTCTCCAACAGTCTCATGTCCTTCTAAACAAGCTCCCTCCTCAGGTCCTGAGAATTCTTTACCCCCAATCTCACTTGGGCCTTGCAGGGTTCCACGAGATGCAATCCATGGGTCGATATTTCCACCGGAGCCTTCACCAAATCTTTTCCCTCTGTGGTAATCCTTCTGATCTTTCCATGCCAAATGACCGTGTCCCTCCTTTTCCATCTTAAACTCAGCCTTCTGGTCATTACAATTTTCCTTATCAAATTTCGTATCTCTACCATAGCAGCTGCCATTATTGTTGCCTCCATTATCACCGGCTCTGCTCTCAAACTTCACATCCCTTTCTCCCTTACCACTATGATGATCCCTTTTCGCCTCACCATACACCTCTCTCGCTTCACTCCTGTTCTCCCGGTTCTCAACCCTAATCTCCCTCCCATCCTTATTCTCTTTTGGCTCCAACACAGGGACATGAGTCATATGGGTATCATTCGAAATCGACGACGGCAGTACCTTGTACACCGAATGCAGAGGGGAGCGCCTCTCGGTATCTCTAGACTCAGCCCTCTGAACCTTGGCTGGTCTAGAATCCAGCTCGTAAGGTCCATGTGGGTGAGAATGCGAGAGAGTGTGAGGATGAGGAAGGGGGTGAGGTTGCGGTGGCTGCAGATGGGTTTGGTGGTGATGATGCTGCAGATGAACCTGAGCCGCCGGAGGAGCCAACGGAGGCGGCGGCGGCGGTGTCAGCTTTGGGTAAGAACCTGAATCTTCGTGAGGGAATTTGGAAGAAGAAGAAGAATGAGGGACACCCTCTTCATGAGATCTCTTGGGAACACCACTCATTGCTAAAACAGAAACTGACAAAAACCCTCGAACCAGCAAGAATCTCACTTAATCCACTCTGAATTCACTTCCTCAGCAAGACAAAATCGCAACCGATTTCCCAAATTCTTACACCTGAAAACAACCGGAAAACCTAGAGAAACTCAGGAACTGCCAACAAGACAAAGATCGAAAACCTAAAAAAAGCCAGCGAAAGATAGGGGCTTTAACCGATTGAAGCAAAGCCCAGAGAAGCACATTCGACAAGTTTCAGATGGGATTTCCTGAGAAGATTATATGGTTCGGGCGATAGTCGAGTTTCCTCCGTAACAGCCAACGCTTCTTTATACGCAAGACTTGCCGTGTGGGTTTTTTTACCCAAATAACCCACTTCCCTCGCATCTATTTGAACTGTAGACCACCGAAAAAACAACTTCGTTATTACGACCTAAATATAATTACAATTGATTCTAAAAAAGTGGCAAAAAATTATCTGTCTTATTTTTATTTTTAGTTGTATATCAGTTATATGTTAGTCGTAATAAAGTCGCAAAAAATAAAACGAAAAGGGTATTTCAGACTTTTCCCACCGAAAAGTGGGTTAAAATTGAAATTTTTTTTTTTAAGTGGGGTACACTAAAATAGATACGATTCAAATGGGTTATTTGGTTGATTTTACCTTGCCGTGTCCTTCCCCCTTTTCCTTCCTTCCTTGTAGACATTATTTTCCCGTTGTTTCCTTTTTTTTTTCGGTCACCGTTTTCACACATCTGGGTTCTCACGTGACCTGAACGTGCCTCCTTTTCTTTTTTATCATTCTTAGCCCCCAATGTTAAGAAATTTATCACATGATCCACGAATTTATATTTCTTGCATTTAACGCCCTCCCCTGACAACATCTGTGTCTGTATAATTTTCTGTCGCGAAAAGCACTCCAGAGTCCCAGACCAAACCTTCTTCGCGACCAAGATTTAACCATGCGAAAAAGGGTCAACTTTGCATTTATATTTCGGTGGTTATATACATCGGTTCAGATTGATGGTTGTCCATAGTCATCATATGCTCTCTCCTCGTGTCGGATGAAAACACACACACGCACACGCACATTGGTCGATTATTATCCACTGTGTTTGAGTGTAAATGTCAAACAAACCCCAAGATTGAAATTAAAAAAAACGCCCACAATTTCAACAACTCGCATGCCTTGATGATTCTACAGCAAAATGTACAAAATGTGATTCAGGGCTTTGTGAAGGTCGGTCGGATCTTTAGTGTTCATAGATCGTGTCGGAGAGAGGACAGGACAGGAAGGGGCACGGGAACTGTTTTACAACTTTCCTGGTGCATTATCAGAGCCGAACTATGGGACAGAGAATAGAATGGACTGAACTGAACTGACCGGTTGAAACAACTGCACAAGTGTTTCACGAGAGAGATGTAACGTGTCTAAAACTCGGTGTCGAAACAAGCCACAAAGATCTTCGAGACCATTGCCCTGGCGAAAGGGATGTAACTCAAACTGTACCTGCAGTTTCAACAACAGAAAGGTCATCACTCCGGTAATAGATTAAGGCCGATACTCCCTAATTTAGGCTTGAAACGGAGTTAGAATTGCAACCGTGCGTAAGCAGGATTTGGATTTCATGGACCATAAGTCTGATGATAAGTTTAAGTTAAACTGTTTAACCCACTAACATATTGCCCAAATTTTAACCCTAATTGGATATTAAATTGGTTTCAGCATACCAAATCAGGCCGCTAAACTCCAGAATGATAGCTAACAGTGTCAGGAGCTTGTTACGAACCTGTGCAAAAGTGAAACAATTGATTATACCAAGTCTAACAAGACACTTTCGCTGCCTCTAGATTTGACAAAACTGTTTCTGTGATTCCAGAAAGTTGAAGCAAAGCAAGAAAGAAAGGGCTTCACTTACATAGAGAGCACAAAATAATGCGACAATGATACTTGCAAGATACAACGCGGTCGCATAGATGCGAGCTGGGTCAAGCATCATCGACACCTGCCGCTGAGGACCTATAAGGAATGCTGTGCTGCCATACAAAAGGACATGAAACTTGAAGTCCAGAATAAGCAAAAGAAAAAAAGACTGGACATACAACTATTGAAACTAAATTGAGTGTTTAGACCAGGATGGTGACTCTCACCCGGGTCACCCCTATGGTTAAAACATCCTTCATTGAATTATGAGGCGATTGATTTTTTTCGATTCTTCAAACAAATTACTGAATTCTGACCAGATCTACAGAACTGGTGTTTCACATGGATATATTTCATTCAAGTCATTCCCTTCCCATTCGAAAAAGCATTATGAGAAGCGACATCACATGCGTGTTAAAACACGTAAATAGTCGAAAATTTACAGTCAAATGATGTTCTGAAATTTCGTTGAGAAGTTAATTGAGAAATAATAGAGATGTTATTAACAGGCATACTTCATCATTTCTTGGAAATTCTGAAACATTAAAGTGATTAAACACCGCCAGTCAATTACTTAATTGCCTAGGAGATGGACATACTCGAATAAACTCCACTATGTGTCTCTGTATGAGTAAATGCAGGCTTCACTTGTTTGTTTACAAAAATGAAATACTGACCTCCCGAGTGCCATCAAATTTCCCAAAGTGAATGTGATACCAAACTTGATGGGGTTGAAGAATACAAGCATTGACTGCATCGTGAAAAAAAGAAGATAAAGATGGTTATAAAGCTTGATGGGATTGAAGAAAACTTGATAGCTGGTATTTGAAAATTCTGGGCTACTAATCCAGATAATGCCACCACTGAAATGATGGTTAATTAAGTAAAAACAGAGTACTATTTTCAGTTCCACTTACCAAGAGTGTACATGTCAAGCCTGCTGACAAGCAAATTGCAAAGCCATAGAATCTCTGTTCCGTATACAAAGGGGCAGGAAGTTAATCAAATATATTCGATAAGATCATAGTAAACAAGATAACACGATGATCCGATAAATCAACCTAGCATACGAAATTTAGACATGTCATCAAGCCTCATTTCAACCATTAAGCAAATGAGCCGGTCGTACAATTTCCACCCCTTTCAGCCACAAGACAATAAGCATATGACAGGAAATTTCATCTCGGTGCATCAAATTAAGCCCAGACAAATCCAAGGATTATATGTTCCTGGGTAATTTATGGACAGAGCTTCAAACAGCAAAACTCTCCATAGTATAGTATCGCCAGAAGAATAGATCACACATACTTCTGAGAATTCAATCACCATTTCTTGTCTAAATCACATTTCCCCCTGGGTTTTTTTCTTCTTTCTGAAAACCATGTATACTAAGTTAGAAATCCTGGAAATATGGCATGCTACATGTCACCGAACAGCAAAATCGACCAAATGTTCTTCTACATCAGCACCTAAACTCATCAATAGATTTATAACGTACAAGTCAATATAGAGTACAATCCTGAATGATCAAATCACAGATACGACTGCGGATATGAGATCGAGCTACGAAACCTCGTAGATGGAGCGAAATCCGAAGAACAGTCAAATGCGAACACAGAAAACCGATTTGATCGAAGAGACGAACAAACAGCGGGTAAGGAATAACCTGTTTGGTAGTTAAGGAGCAATTCCGATTGAGGTCTTCCATAAATGAGAATGTGCTTTCCTCCTCGGGAACCGGTTGCTCTTCATCGACCTCCATGCCCACCAACATCTTCACCTTCTCGAACGCCTGGTTCATCTTATCCATCTTTTCTGAAACTACACTCTATCTCTTCCTGCCTCTTGAACCGTAATTTTGTAGTTAATTTTCCCAGGAAACAAACAGCCTGCTCCGATCTCGGGCTTCTTCGTCTCCACTAGTGAGAGCAGAGCGGCAGTCTGAAGATCTCTTCAAAATTACGCCATTGTCAATCCCCGGAGTGAAATTGAAGCGAGATTTCTTCCACGGAGGAGAATAATGGTCATGCTTTTGGGCCTCGTTCGCTGTAAACACCTTGGGCCCAACAGTACAATTTCCGAGCCCAATCGCTTTATATTTTTAATCAAATACCCAAAAATAATATATAATCGAATTTGAATAATATATAATATATTATATAATCTAGGGGTGGGCGTTTCGGGAAACAGTTCGAGTTCGGGATGTAATAGATCAGTTCGGTTCTTTCGGTTTTACAAAAATAGGTATCAATCGGGTTTTTTATTGTATTCGGTTCGGTTCGATTTTGGTATCGGTTCGGTTCGGTTCGATTCCGGGTTTTATTAAAAAAATGTTAGATTTTCTTTAAAAATATTCAGTTTTTCGGGATTTTTAAAGTTCGATTCGGTTCCGGAAAAATTCGGTTCTCTAAAACTGGTATCATTCAGGAAATAACAACGGTTTCGGATCGGAAAAAATACCGTTTTAACGGTTCGATTTGGTCCGGTTCCGAAGAATCGAACCGAAACGCCCAGCCCTAATATAATCATATAATTTTTTCAAAACTAATGAAAATTGCTCACCTCGAATTTCATACTAAAATCTTCTATAAAAAAAAATAAGTATTATATTATACACGGGAAACATACCTCATTAAATTCCCTGACCGCACAGAAATACAGTTATGAAAATAATAACAATTATAATATAAAATTTAGCGCCATCACTATCACACTCACGACGCCGAGAAACCAATTTTTGAGTGAAGTAAGAACGAGCAACAGCTCGAGCCTGAGAAAAAAAAAATGTCTGTTTTAAGGTTATCGGTTCTGTCTCGCTTCACAATGTCGTCGTCACTGTTGATTGTTGTTGTTTCTTGGGCTGCGCTTGGAGTTAACGGCGATGTCGCCGGAGATGGGACGTCTCCGGCGCTTTTTCCGGCGATGTTCGTGTTCGGAGACTCGTTGGTGGACAACGGCAACAATAATTACTTGAACTCCCTCGCGCGGTCCAATTATTTCCCTTACGGCATCGATTTCAACGGAGGCCCCACGGGGAGATTCTCTAATGGCAAAACCTTCGTCGATTTCATAGGTATATGCATATTATGTATCTATACACACAACGCATGGATGCATGCATCAGCATGACCTCCATGATCTCTCTATCGTCTCTGTCACTTGAACATGCTAATTAAGAGAAGAGCTATTCTCAAAATTAACATGCATGCATAGTAATAGTAGTTGACCATCACACACACGCGCGCACACACATATATATGTATATCGTCATGCATGTGTAAATGATGATACAAAGTTTTGAATCTATTAGTCTTATGTTTTTGTTTGGGTGAAGGGGAGTTGTTGGGTCTGCCTCCAATACCGGCGTACATGGAAACCCTAAACGGCGGAGCCAGCATTCTCCGGGGAGTGAACTACGCCTCTGCCGCCGGAGGAATCCTCGAAGAAACTGGCCGTCATTTGGTATGATGGATCACAAATCACATACCGGATCGATATTGTTATAGTAAATCTTGAATATGTATGTGTGTGTGTATATATATATATATAATGGTTGTTAATATCTAATAATAATAATAATAATGCAAGGGGGGTGGGGAAATGCATGCAGGGAGAGAGAATGAGCATGGGGCGTCAAGTGATGAACTTTGGGAGGACATTAATGGAGCTGAGGAGCACAATGACAGAGGAAGAGGCATTGAATGAGTATTTAGCAAAGTCATTGGTCGTGGTGTCTTTAGGCAACAACGACTACATCAACAATTACCTGAAACCTTCCCTCTACCTCACCAGCTCCATTTACGACCCCACTGCTTTCGCCGACATCCTCCTCTCAAATTTCACCAATCATCTCCTCGTAATAATTAAAAAAAGATCAAATCTTTCCATCTTGGATCGAAAGTATTCATCGTTTTATCCAGATGGGTGTTATAAAAATCGCGTTTTTTGCTACTGGGAATTGCTGCAGGAGTTGAAAGGGAAGGGCTTTCGGAAGTTCGTGGTCGGAGCGGTGGGGCCGTTGGGGTGCATACCGGATCAGCTCGCCGCCGGTAAGGCTCCGCCGGGAGAATGCGTATCGGAGGTCAACGACATGGCGGAGCTCTTCAATCTCCGGCTGAGATCCCTCGTGGATCGCCTCAACAACGACGACGAGACCTCTCCCCGCCCCGTCTTCGTATACGGCAACACATACGGCGCCTTCGTCGACATCCTCAGCCACCCTCTCGCATACGGTCGGTCCCTTCTCTTGCGCACATACGTATAATTCGTACGTCGTGTATATGCATGTATATATGCATGTAAATGTTATACGGATGTTGTTGGGGCAGGATTCGATGTGACGGACACAGGGTGTTGTGGCGTGGGGAGGAACAGGGGGGAGATTACATGTCTGCCGCTGGAGGTGCCATGTGCAATGAGAGAACGACACGTGTTCTGGGACGCATTTCACCCGACAGAAGCCTTCAATATGATCATCGCCCTTAGAGCCTTCAACGGCTCACAGTCCGATTGCTACCCTTTCAACCTCTCTCGCTTGTCTCTCCTCTGAATTCTCAATTCCATATTTACCACTCTCAATAATAATAACCGAACCGAACCGAATCAATTTGAAATTTATATAAAAACCGAATGGTTATAGTTTTTCTATAACCAAACCGAAATAACCGAAGCGAAGATGGAAATGGTCACCTCTGTTCTACATATCATGAGAAAATAATATCCTTTTTTATTTAAACTAGGTGAAAGACCCGCGCGATGCGCGGGTTATTCTTTATTATATTTCGATTATATTTTAAAATATGTTGGTATATAATTTAAAATTTTTAAATAAATAATTTATTTAATATAGGAGAAAACTATATCTGTAATATAAAATTGTTGTAAAATCATCAATATTCATTATATGGTTCAGATATGTGTCTTTGTCTACGATGTATATGTTTGATATCTTTTTTATAAAATTTGTTAATATAAATATTAAAAATGATATTAATTATTTGTTAACGGACAAAGAGTGTATTGGTTAACGGACGCTAAAAAACATATTGCTAAACTTAATTAAAACATTGAATTTTTATATTTAATATTAAATGGAGAACAATTTCTTGATGACGACATGACTCGTAAATTTAATCATTTTATTGTGATCAAAACTCTAACCATATATATCATAAAAAAAATTCAATTTTAAACTCCACAGATATATGTTTTATTTTCTTTTGTATTTTCATGAAACTCATAATTTTTTTGTTTGACAATACTGGCAAGTAATTATATAAACATATCCATAATTTTTTCTTTGCAATATTACAAATAATATCATCAACCTTTTCAACAAAAATATTTTTTGTAAAATAATACGAAATTTATTATTCGTTAACTTGTTTATATTTGTGTTTTACAATCTTAAATCACTAAAAAGAAACATATCTTATAGTCAATGATTGGATTCCAACCTAACTAAATCCTCACTAATCAAATGTTTTCATAATTACCGACGGTTCCATCAATTTCAATTGTTTATGTGTTCGTTATATATATATATATATATATATACACCATTCTTTTCAATTTATTTTTTCGCCATCAATTATAATATATGCAAATCTTTTACAAACAATATTTTAACAATACAATGGTATACTTTGTCTTATTCCACGACAACGCATAATTCATCTAATTTGAATTTTGCGATTTGAACGAACTTCAAATAATACTTTTGGGTACTTGTGTAATTTCATTAAAAAATAACGCAAAAATAAAATGAGAAAAGAGTCGATAATTACCTTGTATTTTAATACAAATTTATTCGTGAATTTTTTTATATATAACAAAAAAAATTGAAAATTAAAAATTGTGAAAAAAAGATATTGTCATTTATAATGTTTTAACTCCACCTAATTTTGGAATTTATATTGATCACCAAAATGATTCTTGGTTATATATTTTGTTCTCGAATTTGAACACAAACCAATAGTGTATCTCAAGAAACGACATGAATATCATTTGCGCTAAAAAACATTAAAACATATAGTATCAAAAGTCAAATGTAAAACTCATTGAAGCCGTCTTTGGCACGTTTGTAGTACTTTACACATTCTCGAATTTCTTCTTAGATTCTTTGACACTTCTTCTATACCTAAACTCAACCATTTTTCCGATCATTCATCAAGAATCCATATAAGATATATACCACCATGTACATAAATATATATGTATATATGTGTGTCTAGAAACCCACTCACCAAGAACACACACACACATATATATATATATAAAGACATGTATATGTATAAACATATGAGTTCCTAGATAAATATCGTGAGTAATAGTTACAACAGTTTGAAAATGAAAATAATAATCCTCATATAAGACTAACATACATACATATATACATTATACATGTATGTATATATACAAGTGTGTTTATATATATGTAGTTTTGAGTAGTAACAAAATAAATACGGAGATTTATTCCCATATAAGAGAGGCTAAAAAACAGAATTTCTAAAAGTTTAGTCCATCTCCAAATTTATCTTCAAGAGAGTCAAAGTCTACGGCGGAAGCCACCGGATTATTCCTTCTCCACAATCGGAGACTTTGGAAATATTACCGGAATCCTCCAACTTCACATCTGTCTCCACTTCTCTAGCCATGACTACCACGACGTAGTTTTTTGGTATTTGGTTTGAATCCCCCAACATATATATATATATATATATATACATGTAATATATGTTTAATTTGAATTTTATTACATCCAAATTGTTTCTATTTTTTTGTCATTTTATTTTTAATTTTTATTTATCATTTAATAATTTATTAGCTACATAAATTTGATCAATGAATAGGAAAAAAACGTCTACTCTACACACGCATATATACATTACATATAATACAATAATGGTTGTAATAAAACAAGAAATAAATAGTAAAAGGAGTGGAGTTAAATGTATCTCCATTTTTTTTTGGGTTAACTACCTTTATATTTTAAAGGTAACGTAATGGAAAATGAGGGACTTTTCATTGGTTTATAAATAAAAGATAAAATCTTATAGTTAAATAATAAAAACAAATATAAATAAATGTTGGGAAAATCATTAATTAGTCCACTAATAAAATGAAAATATCATTACCCTATCTCATATCTTAGGTGGTATTTTGTTCAATTTTCCTTTGTTATAATTAAAAATTATAATTTCATATTTCATTAAATAACAAAATAAAATCAACATAATATTATAATAATATATTTGGAGTATATACAGAAATTTAATTTTTCTTTAAAATTTAAATGCAATTTAATTTTTCTTTAAAATTTAAATGTTTATATTTAATGAATAAAATATTTAAAAAATAAACCAAAACGTATGGTGCCCAACTCCAACGTCGTATCCATTACCTGTATTCATTAGTCCTTAATAACCACATTAATTATTTATTTTTTTCTAAATACTTTTCCTTGGTGTATTTTTGTTTTGTTATAGTCTATATAAACCCATCGATGGCTTCTTCATCGTGGTCACACACCCAAAAAGCCGAACCGACGCAGAAGCCTCCGCCATGGAATTTGACGAGAAGAGGAAGAATAAGCTCACTGGAAAAAGCAATTGATGGAAAAAAATCACTTTTTTCTTCCAACATGTATATATATATATATGTGTGTAGCAATTGACTATATGTTTTATTATAGAGAAAATCTATATATTATAGACCCATGATATATTTGTATCTTCATATTGCGTTATCTCTCTTCTTGCTTTCGCTCATCATCCACCTCTCCATCTCCTTTCATCCTCATAATCTTCGCGGGCCTCTCTCATTCTCTCTCCTCATCTCCCATGGCCGTCTCTCGGACCGTGAAGCCAAAATCATACGACAGCGATAGTTCATGTACTACCGCGACGCTGCACTTATTCAACTAAATTAACCAATGCTGAAAATTCCACTGAAATACAAATATTATGGTTAAATCACATATGTACTCTTACATATATATGTATATATACAGCCAAACATATTCAGACATATACACATGATGCGCTACATACTCTATTCATTGATTGACATGAAAATCAAGTCTTTTGAGTATGAAATGCACCGAAAAATGAAACGATCGAAACTACGAACGCAACAGAAACCGAAATTTAAGATGTAAACCTTTCAAATTGAGAGGGATTTGAACACGATGGACGCATGGGCTTCTCCAGTAAGAATATACCATCATCTTCTCCTTCATCCCTGTGCCCACCTTTCGGTAACGGAGACGCAAACGCAGAACGCTTGTTGTGATCGCTCCATAGATGACCGAACCTGCTGCTGCTGTTGTTCTCGCTCGTGTCGTGGAAAGCAAGAAGAGAGATAACGCAATATGAAGATACAAATATATCATGGGTCTATAATATATAGATTTTCTCTATAATAAAACATATAGTCAATTGCTACACACATATATATATATATACATGTTGGAAGAAAAAAGTGATTTTTTTCCATCAATTGCTTTTTCCAGTGAGCTTATTCTTCCTCTTCTCGTCAAATTCCATGGCGGAGGCTTCTGCGTCGGTTCGGCTTTTTGGGTGTGTGACCACGATGAAGAAGCCATCGATGGGTTTATATAGACTATAACAAAACAAAAATACACCAAGGAAAAGTATTTAGAAAAAAATAAATAATTAATGTGGTTATTAAGGACTAATGAATACAGGTAATGGATACGACGTTGGAGTTGGGCACCATACGTTTTGGTTTATTTTTTAAATATTTTATTCATTAAATATAAGCATTTAAATTTTAAAGAAAAATTAAATTTCTGTATATACTCCAAATATATTATTATAATATTATGTTGATTTTATTTTGTTATTTAATGAAATATGAAATTATAATTTTTAATTATAACAAAGGAAAATTGAACAAAATACCACCTAAGATATGAGATAGGGTAATGATATTTTCATTTTATTAGTGGACTAATTAATGATTTTCCCAACATTTATTTATATTTGTTTTTATTATTTAACTATAAGATTTTATCTTTTATTTATAAACCAATGAAAAGTCCCTCATTTTCCATTACGTTACCTTTAAAATATAAAGGTAGTTAACCCAAAAAAAAATGGAGATACATTTAACTCCACTCCTTTTACTATTTATTTCTTGTTTTATTACAACCATTATTGTATTATATGTAATGTATATATGCGTGTGTAGAGTAGACGTTTTTTTCCTATTCATTGATCAAATTTATGTAGCTAATAAATTATTAAATGATAAATAAAAATTAAAAATAAAATGACACATAGATGATGAGTTGGATCCTAGGTGTCCTCACCATATTCCTCCAAATCCAACTTTTATATATATAAGATTTGATTTTCTTTTACAACAGAATTGTCAATTCGAAGGTGTCAAGAACGTGGCTCGTGAAAACCCTTTTAAGGAGTTTTTGCCAAAAGGGACACAAAGAGACTATTACTACAAATTTTCATATATTCGGTGGCACCAATAATTAGATGGTATTGGTAGCATTTCAAACTTACCCAAATTTATTTATTTGATTGCTTTGTACATTAAAAGTAAATTGTTATTTTATGGGTAAAAAATTAAATGACAAATTTTATCGATTAGATATAAGTTTTCTAAAGTTAAATTAACGGTTTCACATCTAATATATGAAAATAATCTAAAAATCACATAAACTATTTTTTTTTGGAGTGAACATTATTTTTAATAAAAGGATTCTATATCAAATATGAATAAAATGATATTGTTCAAAATTATATAATAATAAAATTCAAACCTACTTAGATAAAAAAAAAATTAGTTGGTTATGCTTTTTTAAAATCAACCAAAAGAATTGATATAGTAAATATTATTTTAATAAAAATGGTTTCTAAATGAAATCTAAATAAAAGAATAATCCAGTTTGTAGTGAGCGAGTGGTTGAATTGGGTGTGTTCTTTAGACTCTAGGTCACAAGTTCGATTCTAATTGTTGAAGAGTAAAGGGATAATTTCTCGGTTGGGAGGGTGCTGCTCTATGGGCCTCTGACACTCTGTCGCCGCATCCCTAAAAACTGCTTCCAGATTTAGGTGAATTTGGGTCGATGGTCCAGATGAACCTCCTGTTACAAAAAATAATAATTAGAGTTAAAATATATATATCTAATTTTGGTATTATTATAATTAATTTACATTTTAGAATTGATAAAAAGAAAAAAAGAGGTAAAAGAAAAAAGAGAGATAAAATCAGATTGAATAAAGATTGGAGTCCGGACGTGGGGAAAGGGCTATTTGTATTGTAGTCTCCCTCCTTTCTCTTCCTCTTCGCCCTTTTTTTCTTCCCTCAGTACTACGCAGAGCTCACGCGTTCGGCGCTCTCTCTCGGCCTGAACCATCCAACCTACCTCAGCGGCGCGTGGCTACAATCGCCGCCGTGTTCTTCGGTAAAGTCTGTTCCTTTTTTTCCGGCTTCGATCTCTACTCGTAAGTTGTAACTGTCCTTCGTGCTTGATTCCTTCTGATCCCTGGGGTTCTCGTTAAGTTTGTAAGTGTATGCCAACGTCTTTTCGATTTTAACTGTCTTTGCTTTTTCTTGGCGAGAGATGTTCACTGGTGTTTGCGATTATTCTTCGAGTTTCTTGGGTTGGTTGTTGTCGATTTCATTTTTATGGTTGCTTATGTTGCTCAAATGGTTGGTTTGTTTTGTGGGTTTTGGACGTGATTGGTTGAAGTTGTCTGCTCCTCGTTTCGACCTATCAGTTTGCCCTAGATTCGGGCTTGTGTTAGTGAAACGTGAAGAAACAGTACAGATGTTAGGTTTGTGTGCGTGCGATGTTTGGTGTGCGCTCCCTCTTTCTTTCTCTTGTCGGTATATGTTTTATCAAATGCCATGAATCGCGATTAGTGGTTTGGTTGAGTGGTGTAGTGGCATCTGTAATCAGTGAAAGATCAATGTCGAAATGAGAATACTGACAAGTGTTTCTATGAACATCCATGCGCGTGTGTTGGTTGAACGTTGTACATTTCAAAGTGACTGTTGCTTATCCGGAGGAATTGATTCTCTGCAGGTCTTAGAAATGAGTCTTAGGTCCGGTTCGAGGTCTTCCAAGGGAAAGAACATTTCCGAGGGTTCCAACCCAGATGTGGACCAGTTGTCTCACGGTGTAGCCGGGACAAAGTTGGTCCCTTCGCAAGATGATGGTGGTGAATGGGAGGTCATTGGGAAGAAGAACAAAAACAAATCTGGAAACACTGGTGGGAAATCTTGGGCTCCTCAAAGTTCGAACTCTAGGACTTGGGGTAACCCAGGAAGGGGAAGTAGTGGTAATGTACCGAGGGGTAATGCCAATGCCTGGGGCGTACAAGCCACTGATCCGAGGGTTTCTGCTGGTCGAGGGAATCCTCGTAACCAAAACATGAACAGGGGTTATGACAACAGCTATGGGGCTCCGCAACCCGCAATTCGGCCTCCTCTGGAGAAAGGTTGGAATTGGCAGTCAAGACCGGGGGCTGCTTTGTTCAGAGAGACTCAGCAGGAGCAGGAAAAGAGAGAGGCTGATGAACCAGAAAATTTTGGTGGCACTGATGAAGAGGATGATTATGGGTCTGACGCTCTGGATGATTCCGATGAAGATCTCCTGAGTGATGACTATGATTCAGATGATAGTCAAAAGAGCCATGGAACACGGAAGAAGAACAAATGGTTCAAAAAGTTTTTCGAGAGCTTAGATAGCTTGTCTATCGAGCAGATTAACGAACCTCAGAGACAATGGCACTGTCCAGCATGCCAGAACGGCCCTGGTTCTATCGACTGGTATTGCCTTCAGCCCCTTATAACCCATGCAAGAACAAAGGGAGCTAGGCGAGTTAAGCTGCATAGGGAATTGGCAGAAATCTTAGACGAGGAGCTGCGGAGGAGGGGAGCTTCAGTCATCCCAGCTGGTGAAGTTTACGGCCAGTGGAAGGGATTGGGAGAAGAGGAAAAGGATCATGAAATAGTGTGGCCTCCGATGGTCATGATAATGAATACTAGACTTGACAAAGATGATAACGATAAGGTGATGAGAATACTTCCCCTCTTAAGAAGTATGCTCGTTCATTTGTTTTATTTAATTTTTGTCCAGTTCTGCTGTGTTCTCAAGTGAGAATTTCATTTGTTTAAGCATGTTACTCATAGATATCTGTTTTTGACATAAACTTTCAGTGGGTTGGCATGGGAAACGCAGAGCTACTCGAGTATTTCAGCAATTATCCTGCTAATAGGGCACGACATTCATACGGTCCACAAGGCCATCGGGGCATGAGTGTTCTCATATTCGAGGGCAGTGCCACTGGGTACCTCGAGGCTGAGCGCCTTGCCAGGGATCTAGCTGAACAAGGCCTGGATAGAAATGCCTGGGACCGTAGACGTAATTTGCTTTATGCTGGCAAACGACAGTTATATGGGTTCCTGGCTTCAAAGGAAGATCTAGATATCTTCAATCAGCATTCACAAGGTTCTTCACCTTTCACGGATTTTGTATATCATTCAGTTCTCTCTCTCTCTCTCTTCTATTGTATGTTTTGACTTGCTTGTATGATTGATTGTCCCTTAGGCAAAACGGCGCTGAAATTCGAGATGAGATCGTACAGGGAGATGGTGGTGAAGGAGCTGAGGCAAATATCTGAGGACAATCAGCAGCTGAACTGGCTTAAGAACAAGCTCACTAGACAGAGCAATCATGCAAAGGTGCTGGAGGAATCTCTTGAAATAATGAGTGCGAAGCTGCGGAAAACAACAGAGGAGAATCGGATTGTGAGGCAGAGAACGAAGATGCAGCACGAGCAGAACAGGCAAGAGGTAAAAATTTCTACTCATCATCATCATCATCATCAGTTCCACCAGTTTTACTAAAAAAAATGCAAACTTTTGGTTTTGGATTTAACCTTTAAAAAACATATGGGGTAGATGGATTCACAAGACAAGTTCTTCAAAGAGCAAATCCAAATGATACATGAAGCAAGAGACGAACAAGAGGAGAACTTTGAGATGCTGCAGCAGCAGGAACGTGCCAAGGTCAAGGAGCAGAATGCTAATTCTTCGAGCAACGATGATTATCGAAGAAGGTATTGAAATCGAAATCGAAATCAAATCTTTATCTTCCAGTGACTATTTTTTTTTCCCTAACGGATCCCTTGCAAAATTCTCAAAAGGGCGGAGGAGATATCGAGTTTCATAGAGTTCCAAGAGAAAGAGATGGATGAGTTCGTGAGGGAGAGGGAGAAGCTGATAGAAGAGCACGAGAAGAAGATGGCCGAGATGAGGCAGAGGCATTACGAGGAAGAGCTCGAACTCGAGAGAGAGTTCGATGACTCTCTTAATCTCTTGATGGATAAGTACTCCCCTCACTCCCCTTGATGAGATTGGCCAGCCAATAAAACACAAGAGTTAAAAAAAAGGTTACATGTTTTTTACTTGAGAAACATGAACTCTTTCTGGTCCGAATTTGAGCTGCTTTTTTTTTGGGGGGAGCGTTCTGAGAGAGAGTTTCTTCTGGTCTTAATCTCTCCATGTTGATGATGGATGACGACCCGCTTTTCTCTTTGGGGGCTGTAACGATCATGACATGATCGACAGTTTTCTTGATTCATTAACTTGCAGTCATGTCCTTTATAATAAATATTGAACTTGATACATAAAATAGTCACATCGTCATGGTAACATTCTTTCTTTTTTATCCTCAGCAAAAACTTAAATTTTGTATTTTTTTTAAAATATTTTGAAATGCATTTATAAAACAATCATTTTTCTGTTAAAAAACATCAAATTTGACATTTTTTAATCATATTTACAAAAATAATCGTTTTTAATGTGTTTTTTGGTTTAATACTAATTTTATAATAAATTTATAGGGTAAAACTTTTTTTTAATAATTATGACATTTTATAAGAAAGAGAAATTTGTAATATAGGTTTTAAGATATGGTTTACATACTTTCGTAACTTTAGATTTTTATACCAGAAAAAAAAAAGATATGGTTTACATACTAATAAACCCGATGGGCCTAATTTAATGTATTTTGCGGATCCGGGTCGACCCGATTCGGGACACCCGTCTTTCCTCTGCAATAGTCCTGCGTTTGCAAAAGTTTTACGTTTTCGAAACAAAAAAAAAAGTTTTTTCCCCTGTGTTCCTTCAAGGTATCACCGGGAAAAAGTTTCCGGCAGGTATGAAGCGTCGGGGAGTAAGAATTTCCCTTCCCGTCGTGGTCGTGATGCTTGTCATCGGTTTCATCTACTTCTCCACTGTTTTCACGTTCATCGACCGGTGGTTTAGCCTCACGTCCTCGCCTGGAATCGCCAACGCCGCTGTCTTCACCGCCTTGGCTCTGATGTGCGTTTACAATTACGCCATCGCGATCTTCAGGGATCCGGGTTGGGTCCCCGCCAATTACGCGCCCGACGTCGAAGATCCGGAGAATCCTGTCCACGAGATCAAACGCAAGGTGATCTAATTCTGTCTCTGTGGTTCGTTCTCATGGGATCTTATGGATTCTTAGCTGGTGATCTTGGGTGCTTAATGTTCAATTCAAGATTCTGAGCACATGGGTTTATCGTCAAATGGTTGCTTGCTTTGTCTGATTGGCCTTTCCTTTCGAGCTGTTGGACGGTCTTGGACATGGTTATTGGTGTAATTTATTGGTGAGAAAGTTGCCTGCTTTAGGGTTTATTGAGTTCCCCTCATTATGGTGGATAATCTGTTCGAGATGTCAAACTGTTTCTATAAGCATCTGGACAATCAATTCTTGATGTCTTATGTAGTTTGGATGCATCTATATGGATTTGCTACACTTCTGAATTCGTGCTTGTCTTGAAAAATATCTTTTGGTGGTTGAAATACTTGGATCCAATGCTATTCTCTTTGTGATTCGTCGATGGAGTTTTGCTGTGTGCTCAGTGTTTAATTTGAGTTTTGACACATAAATGCCCATTTCAGGGGGGAGACTTAAGATATTGCCAAAAGTGTTCGCATTACAAACCTCCGCGTGCCCACCATTGCCGTGTTTGCAAAAGATGTGTACTTAGAATGGTATGCTTTACTGAAATAGATATATTTTAGCATTTGGAAGATGAATCATCCCTAGATAATTCATTTGAGCAGTCCTGCCCTGCTTGATTTGAAGGATCACCATTGCATTTGGATCAACAATTGTGTTGGGCACACCAATTACAAAGCCTTTTTCATCTTTGTTATCTATGCAGTGACTTCATGTGTGTACTCCCTGGTATTTCCCCCAACTTTCTGCCTGTTCATCATAGATCTCTTATTTCATATACGATCTTTAGGCTGTATTGATAGGGGAAGCTTACTATTACGGTTTATTCTTTTTTTTCTTTATCAGGTTATGCTTGTGGGAAGCCTAACTGTTGAGACTCATGATGACGAGGAAGAGCTAGGAGGTTACCTAAGAACTACCCATGTAATGATCATGATTGAATTGGGTTCAATCAATATATCTGAGCCAAGCTTATATTGACGTTGACCCATGATTATGGTTTTCAGATAGTTTCTGCACTTCTTCTTTTCCCTCTGAGTATCGCACTTAGTGTTCTTCTTGGGTGGCACATCTACCTCATCTTGCAAAACAAAACAACTATCGAGGTTACCTTTTTTATTTTAATTTCTTCAATTATAGATTTTGTCAGCTCCATTTGAGATGTTTCTCTCCTAAATCAATTTCTGAAATTGGGCAGTACCATGAAGGGGTGAGAGCTATGTGGTTGGCGGAGAAAGGTGGGCAAGTCTATAAGCATCCATATGATATCGGTGCATACGAAAACCTAACAACGGTAAGGCTGACATCCTTCTATTTCTCGTGACCAGTCAGTCTGACTATTTAGCTAGATATTAGCAACTCCTGGCCAGACAGACCAGTCGGGTTTCATTCTATTGTTCTTCTCACTTCGTCCTTAGAACACAGGCTCCCCCCTTTTTCAATTCTTGGGACTTGTATCTGAATTCGAGAAGATTTGTCTTGTCTTTGTTACAAGTTTCCGTATTTGGTACACATTACATCAATTACTTGTTGCTTGAATCATTCCTTCTTTGTCTTCTTCAGGTGTTGGGTCCAAACATCCTCTGCTGGCTCTGCCCTGTGTCAAGACATATCGGTTCTGGTCTCCGTTTCCGGACAGCCTATGACTCGATCCTTGTCTCATCTGAATCAAAATAAAACCAGCTAACACACAAGTCATTTTCTTTACTCAATACCATTAACAAGGATGCACAATCTCTGACCTCACAGCACTGTGCTCATCATTACGTGCTTTCAAATATCTACGGCTGCAGTTCTGTCTCAGGACCAAAAGAGAGAGCAGTCCTGGATCAGACATTCATTCATTGCGTAGGGGATTAGGGTCCCCTCATTTGTTAACTGGATCAAGAACATCACTTTGTGAAAAATCCAACTGTATCAGTTAGGTAAATTTCTTGTCTCTCTCGTTTGTTTGATTTTGAGTTTCTTGTAAGGAAAAGATTGCGAAAAATTAGGGATGCAAATACGGAATTCAAGCTGATGATGATGATACACATTGTACAAGTTCACTGTTGAAGAACACCAGCAAAGTAAGAAGGAGATGGTTGAAGGCTTGAAATCCTGTTGTGTTCCTTCTTTTCTTCCTCTAACCTGGAAACTGTGCAAGTGTTTTTTGTTTCTTTTTCTCCAACTTAGAGAGTAACTTACAGGCTACAAAGTGAATGTAACACTAAATAAAGTTTTTTTTTTTAATGACAGTTATACTCTGCAGAGCTTTGTCTGATTCTCCAGTGTCTTATAGTTCTACTTATCATCTGCTGCTTTGTCAGTTATCTTTTCTCCAAAACCAAATTCGTTCACACGAGTCTTGTCCAAAATGGTATATAGATTCGACGAGTAGGAAAAAGCAGAAGCGAGGAGAGATATTTATGGGTTTTTTTTTTGGAGATACTTCCGGCGTTTCGGTATTCGGTTCAGAATTTTAGCGATTCGATTCGGAAATGATTTATTCGGTATTCTAAAATTTGTACCAAATCAGTACCGTATATTATTCGGTTAGGTTTCGGTTTTTATTAAAAAAATTTAGATTTTTTAAGAAAATTTCGGTTTTTCGGAAATTTTATGAAGTTCGGTTCGGTTCGATTCGATTCTAAAAAATTTGATTCTATAAAAATCATACCGTCCGAAAATTTTAAACAGTACGGTTCGAAAAAAATACCGAAATTTTCAATTTATTAGGATTCGGCGAAACGCCAATCTCTACTTCCCCACCCCACACAAAGATTTGTCATGAAAAGAAGAAATTGCAATAAGCTCTCTATATTTTAGAATATATCAAATAATTACCTTATATTCTAGAAAACGATAGATATGACCCTCTATTTTAACCTAATTTTAATCCCGTTCGTTTCCCCGCTCGTGTCCGGCCGGTTGGCTTCTCTCCCGCGTCTTCTATGCCTTCGAGTTCCGGTGCCTGCTGTTCGTTTTCCGGGAAAAGTTCCCAGCTTTCTCAGTAAAATTTCCTAGAAAAGATATGTATACATATGTATGTATATATTCGTTGGCTATTGTTGCTTGTTAGGTGGCTGCCGGTTTTTTAGTTTAAAGCGGTATTCTTGATTACGGGATTAGAAGATATTAAACAAAGGATGACGCTTTGCTTTGATTTTTGCTGAATATGGGAAGTGATGAGAATTCTAGTAATCACAGTTTTCTGATGGGTACCTTCATGTATCGGCCTAGAAGCCGAAGGAAATCCCTGTTGCGCATCAAATGTTTGTAATAATGACCGATATATGAAATCTTGTAGCTTGGGTTTTGCTTGATAGAAGTGAGTATCTAGGCGCAAGATGGAAGCTTTACGACAATTTGTTTACAGCCTCAGAACTTGTTCTAGTTTAAGAAGTGACCACAAAGTTCTCGCGGATGTTGTCAAGTCTTGTGCTGCAATGTCCGAGCTTGGTTCTGGGAGGGCTTTGCACGGGTGCGTGGCCAAGCTTGGTCATTTGGCCTGTCAGGTGGTTTCGAAGTCACTGCTCAACATGTATGCCAAATGTGGCAGCATGGATGATTGTCAGAAACTGTTCAGGCAAATGGACAGTGTTGATCCTGTTGTTTGGAACATTGTTCTGTCTGGATTTTCCGGTTCTTGTGGTCATGATGTTGAGACCGTGAGGTTTTTCAAAGCAATGCTTTTCGAAGATGAACCTAAACCTAGCCCAGTTACCTTTGCAACTGTGCTTCCTGTGTGTGCTCGTCTTGGGGATTCATTCAGCGGAAAGAGTATGCATTCCTATGTTATTAAAACTGGTTTTGATAGAGACACCCTTGTGGGGAATTCTCTGGTTTCCATGTATGCCAAATGTCGGTTGGTTTCCCGTGATGCTTGGACTGCATTTGATAGCATCACCGACAAAGATGTTGTCTCATGGAATGCTATTATTGCTGGCTTTTCTGAGAACAAGATGATCAGTGATGCATTTAGATTGTTTTGTCTGATGCTGAAGGAATCCACAGAGCCGAATTATGCAACAATTGCAAATATTTTGCCAGTTTGTGCTGCTCTAGGCAAGAATATTGCATATCAAAGTGGTAGGCAAATTCATACTTATGTCGTGCAGAGATCTTGGCTGCAAACTGATGTTTTTGTTTGCAATGCGTTGGTGAGTTTCTATTTGAGAGTCGGACATATGGAAGATGCAGCATCAATGTTTAAGAGGATGTCTTCCAAAGATCTCGTCTCGTGGAATGCTGTCATATCTGGTTTCGCATCAAATTGCAAGTGGTTTAAAGCCTTGCAATTATTTCAAGAATTGATTCATAAAGGGAATGTTTTCCCCGATTCCGTGACTCTTGTCAGTATCCTTCCTGTCTGTGCACAGTTAAGAGATCCACTTCCTGGCAAAGAGATCCATTGTTATGTTTTGCGACGTTCTTTCCTGTTGAAGGATACATCTGTTGGAAATGCTCTTATCAGTTTCTATGCAAGATTTGGTGACACGAGTGCAACATACTGGGCCTTTTCACTCATGTCCAAGAAAGACTTAATATCTTGGAATACTATACTGGATGCCTTTGCAGATACACTGTTCTATTCCCAGTTTACAGATCTCTTGCTCCGATTTCTTCAAGCAGCAATCCCTCCGGATTACATTACTATTTTAAGCATAACAAAATTTTGCACTAGTTTACAGAGAGTAGATAAAGTAAAAGAAGTACATTGCTACTCAGTTAAGGCTGATCTTTTAGTCAATGAAGTAGAACCATTGGTTGGAAATTCGTTGCTTGATGCATATGCCAAATGTGGCAATGTGGACTATGCTCGCAAAATTTTCCGCTATTTATCAGAGAGGAGAAATGTGGTTACCTATAATTCAATGATCTCGGGATACGTTAATTGTGGAAATCATGATGGTGCTCGGACGTTGTTTAACGAGATGCCTACCACTGATCTCACAAGTTGGAGCTTGATGGTTCGTGTTTATGCTGAAAGTCGTTTTCCTGATGAAGCCATCGATCTTTTCCATCAGATACCAGCACGAGGAATGAGGCCTGACACTCTGACTATTATGAGTATCCTTCCTGTTTGTGCCCAAATGTCCTCTTTGCATCTGGTGAGGCAATGCCATGCATACATTCTCAGAGGAGGACTTGGCGATATCCGCTTGAAGGGGACTTTGTTAGATGTTTATGCAAAATGTGGCAGCTTGAGAAGCGCTTCTGTCCTTTTCCAGTCAGACCCTCACAAAGATCTGGTTATGTTCACTGCTATGATTGGTGGTTATGCTGTACATGGAATGGGTAAGGAAGCCCTTATGATCTACTCTCATATGCTTGACTTGGGTTTAAAACCTGATCATGTTGTCGTGACAACCGTATTGTCTGCATGCTGTCATGCTGGATTGATAGATGAGGGGTTGAAGATATTTGATTCAATAGGGATGGTTCACCGTATGAAACCTACCATGGAACAGTATGCTTGTGTAGTAAATCTTCTTGCTCGGAGGGGCCGCGTTGAAGATGCATATTCTTTTGTCACTGGGATGCCAATTGAACCGAATGAAAATATATGGGGAACACTGTTAGGGGCATGCACAACCTATCATAATGTGGAGCTGGGGAGGGCAGTTGCGGATCATCTTTTGGAAGCTGAATCAGACAATATCGGGAACTATGTTCTGATGTCAAACCTGTATGCTGCAGATGCTAGATGGGAAGGTGTCATGGAGTTGAGAAAACTAATGAAGGAGAGGGATTTGAAAAAGCCAGCAGGATGTAGCTGGATTGAAGTGGAGGGGAAAAGGAATGTCTTTGTAGCAGGAGACTGTTCTCACCCTCAAAGAAATAGTATTTTTTCTACCCTACTTACTTTAGGTCGGCAAGTCAAAGAGTCTCTGCAACTCAAATAGATGAATATTCAGAACATGAAGGGGCTTATAGTTACAGAAAATCATAACCCCAAAGAAGTGGATTGTTAAAGGTCTTCATGCCAAGAAAGGGAAACTTGGATAAGATGGTGGATGTGGTAATCAAAATGTCATGCTGAGGTTCTGTCTTTGCTACGTGCCAGAACTACTTCAAGATATAAAGTTCTTAGGCATCGGACTATAGGTAACATAACTACTCTGCTCGTTAGATTCCATGTTTTATGAATCGAGGCTTCTTTTTGGGGTGAAAAGTATAAACATGGATACTTCACGTCATAAAGTCATTTGATGTGTTTTCTCTCATACTGTTCCTAGGTGATGCGCCAAATTAAGTGTAGGTGTTTCAACCTTAGATTCCAATGTGGAAAGATAATAATTTCTGAGTTTTAACTATAATGGCAGCTTCTTCAACAGACTGTTGGTAAATAATAAATATGCAAGAAATGGATTTCGGCCACTTTTCAGGGGTAGACCCTGTCAGTAGTCAGTTCCTCTACTGCTCATTGTTTGTACTAGTTGTCATTTGCTTGATTTTCTCAAAAACTTTTGGGCTTTCAGCATCCGTTAGAGCTCAAAACTCATAGTAACCAAAGTTAAATCCTTCTTATATTTTTTAACAAATAGTTCCAAAATGTAACACCAGATGAGTTTCTCCTGGTTATTTGTATATGTATGAATTTGTGGTGGTCGTAAGAATATCCTCATATCATTCTATGCAGAAAAGGATGCATATGCTACTACATTTGTGGCTACAAGAAGATTACAGAAATATTACCAAGACAGAGATTTAAGAGTGAAAGAATAGTGAACTAGTTTGGCCTCTGCAAATGATATAAAGTGGAAGTCAGTTTCACATATTGGTATTACTGGCTGAGGACAAATCTATGAGAAATCTAGTGAAGTCATAGTTTCCCACTGGAATTTGGAGATGTAAGAGGGAACAATGGAAGCAATTCTGGTTCTGTATACCCTGGTTTAGATCTCGGTGATGGATGCAGGTAAAAGCGTCTTTCTCGAATGGCTTTCTCCTCTTCTTCGGAGTTTGGTGTATATATATCTGATTCTGCTTTCTCCTCTTCCATTAAGGACAAGGTGGAGAACAATGAAGAAGGGGTGCCCAAAGGACTTGTTAATATGCTTGTATTACCTGATTTAGACGATAGTATTGCACCAATGGCTTTAAAACTTGGAGGAGGCTTGACAATCTCTAACTTTGGCCTCATAACCTGTCTTCTTTCATGGAGCTTCGAAGTTGGCTTCTTTGCTGCTGGTGGTTTTACCGCTGTTATTTCTGGCACTGCAATGTTATCTGATGGACCTGTTAGCCGTTGCACGACATCTCTGAAGGTGTTGGTGTCAGTTTGAACAAACGTAGTGACGGGCTTGCAAGTTGCTACATTCTGACTTGCAGGATTTTCCATATGTACGATCTCTTTTTTTCTTTCCCTCCAAAAGAACAGGCTTTAACCTGCAATCGTTTTGGTCTCTTGACCTGTAATAGTTTTCTGTTTTATGCAGTTGGTCAGCTCTCTTACGTATGGAAGGAATACTTATTAAACATGTAAGTGAGTAGAGGAACTCGGCCCTATCTGGAGACTCAATAAATTAAATCTGATTTGTGACCTCTCCTTGCCTCTTTCTAATGGGATATACAGAGGAAGAAAATCCATCAGTATAATTTCCTATAGCTCATCATATCCTTTTCCATGGTTTTGTTTAGGGTGTTTTATCCACAGGTGGAGGAGCCCCGTATAATTTCCTAGCTCTACGTTCTTAAACCTTTGAACTCTCACATTTTAGCTGTTTTCAGACATGGAATGGTCGGCAGAGCCTGTGTTTTTCGGCTATATGCACAGAAGAAAGACTCGAGATAATTCTGAAGAAGATACGTACCTGAAGAATGCCAGTTTCCAGGGCAATCAAGAAGTGTGAATTCACGAAACAATTAAGGCAATGGGGAACCCAAACTGAAGATAAACAAATGGAGAAAAACAGAGGAAACAGATGTAACCAAAAAAACAAACAAAAAAAAGGTGCGGGTCTTATGGTCACAGCAATCACAACTCAGACCAGAAAAGGAAAAGCAGTTTGAGAAGGAAAGGAAAGGAAGGAGAGAAAATTGGGCAACGGGTTTTATCCCAAAGGAAGAAGGGAAGTCCCTTCTCTTTGTTCAAACAGTTGGGTTTGGTTTTGTTCGGTCAAGATGACAATCTGTGATTTCTTCGTGTCGTGAAGAAATGGAAATGAAGCTTTTAAAGAATGCATGCTGTTTCAGTTAGGAGGGGAGAGAGAGAGAGAGACGTCAGAGCAACCTCTCTCCCAAAATGTAAGTGAGACGGTTTTTCTTCTTCTTTTTAACAGCCTGACATCTGTCTTTTTGAACAACGGTCTTTGTCTGAAAGAAATGTTTTGTTGCGAAGATATTAACTGAACTCTTAACCGTTTTCTCACCAATCTGTTAGCATCTTTTAGGCCTTTTTGTTTTGACTCCTTTTGGCGACGGTTCATTGGACTTCTGTTACAATGTGTTCAAGAACCACACGTTTTTCGTTGTGGAAGGAGACCCTTTTTTTTCTTCAGACCGAAAAAACAGTAGAGAAACTTTTAGTTTCAGCTCCAAGTTCTGCAACCTATTTACCTCGTCGAGTTAGCAATGTACTTGCAAATGTCTCGGAATATTTAGATTTACTGTTGTGCATTAGTAGTTATAACATCAGATTACAATCGCTAATAATGGATTAATGCCACGCGTTATCGTTGATAACTATAACAGAGATTCTGAAACTGTATGATGGAATAATGGGCAGCCAAAACAGTCGAAAATTGGATCACTGAGATAGGTTCTGTGACCTTCTACTCATTTTGTTCCCACCTATGTATGCAAAACTGTATTATTGCCCTTTTATCCTCACTAGCTGTAGTGGCACAACATATACAACATCTCGGATGCCATTCATCGCCATTATCAACCAAGACTAGAAACAAGCGGTGCTTCAGATGACCACAAGAACGAAAAAGGACCCATCTTGATTTGGTTTTACGCTTCTTCCATGTGTAGCTATGATCAAGCTTTTGCTGAACGTCTGTATCCAGGCGATCACTGTACTATGCGGATGAACTTGACTATAAATTTACCTTATTGTTATGCTAAAGTTGCTCTTTTGCCCTTTGCATCTCTTGACTGCAGAAATTCAGTACTAGTAATCAGCTTACAAATGTGTATGTTAACTGTAACAGAGGAAGGAGGGAGGAAAGGGAAAAAGGGAAAGCGACCTGTGCAGAAACCGATCTTTTTGAATCCAGAAACTCGCTATATATAGCATACAGCCTTTGCTTCTCGGTCTCTGAAACCGATGGCTTTGCCTTTGATGCCACAGACCTCAGAAGAGTGTCAGTTATCATTGGCATGCTCCCTAGCTCAGGGTTGTCTTCTTTGTTTAGAAATTCGTGAACAGCAGCGAGCTGAGTATCTGAGAGAAGAGCTTGGAGGTCAGCTCCACTAAATCCTTCTGTCATTTGTGCTATAGCATCCAGGTCGATGTCACCAGCCATTGGGAGCTGCGGAAATGCAGAAAGAAATGTTACATCCAGAAAAACCAAACTCAAGAAAAAGTGGCGTTTAGAAATGACAAGAAAACAAATTTCCAACCTTTCTAGAAAGAACTGAGAGAATCTCGACCCGCTCTTGTTGAGATGGAAAATCACAGAAAAGAAGACGATCAAGCCTGCCCGGTCTTAGAAGCGCAGGATCAAGTAGATCTGGTCTACTGCTAGAAGTAAACTATTACAACGTCATATCTCCATTTGTTTTAGGCAATGAAAAGAGAGTGAGAGATGACCGAAAACAAGCCTTAACTATAGTTACTATCAGTGTAAACGTACCTTGTTGCAGCAAATACAAAGACACCAGTTAGAACTTCAACTCCATCCAGTTCTGTCAGAAACTGCTCAAGAAGAAAATGACATGAGATGGGTAAGTAAAACCAGAGTATGCACACACTGGGGGGGGGGGGGG